AAATATATCATCCTATGTTGATTTCTTTGGGACAGTTAGTGTTTTGAGTGATTTTATATTTTTTATATGTTCTTGTCCATCCTGTCAGAAGGATGGTGAGGAATGAAGTAGCATTCATTCTGTTTTTGAGGGTACTGAATGTTGACTGACAGGTTACAAAATATACGTATATAAAAATGGACGGCAGTACCAGTACTTGTAGTTCACAAACTAGACTGTAGCTTTGTTTTTAGAGAAAACCTCAGAAGTCTAAACTTCAACAACATGCTCCACTGGTGTTGGTGATTCTATTTGAATCTTACTGACTGTAAAATAAATGTATCTGTTGATTATCAAAATAAATGTATAACATCTGATTTGATGATTTTCCTTGTGATTGTATTTGGGATATGGCTCAGTGAAATATAGTTTTAACAACAGACCTCTCAGATTCTCCTTTTTACTGATGAGTGCATGAATGAACTTTAACCAAGTCTCCAGGTGTTAAACTATCCATAAACTTATCTGTAAGATTCTGCTTATAGCTTCGTGTGCGATGCAGACGTCTGAATTTCTAACCTAACAACATGTAATCCTTTGCGCAAATTAAGCCAGTGTGTGTGTCATTTTTACCATATATGATGATGTTAAGCCTGCAGCTCAGTTTCACCCCCATAATATGTAGTACATAAGACAAGTGGCAGTGAGTTTCAAACCTAACCTGTTTCGTCATGAACATTTCTAAACATAAAGTACAAGTACAAATTCCCTGTAACCCGACACCTACCAACCCTCTTATCACACACACGGTTTCCATTCAACTTAAACCTTGTTGTGGTTTTAACAATATGAAATATGCAGTAGGTTGCCTTTTTGCCAGAATGACATGCTCTACTCTACATTATGTTATGGTGGAATGTCAACTTGGATTACAAATGGAATGTTCTGACATCAATCAGTTTAACCCACAAGAACCCGGACATCATTTAGACTAAATAGACCACATAGAACACATTTCTGACAAGTAACCCCCCCTAGTGTTAAAGATCTGAAAAGTGATATATATGTCACATTGGGCTTTAATGGTAAAGTAACTCTTATTTATAACTTAATTAATGAGGATTATTTTTTGTTTTAAATTAGTTTGAACATTTTTTAATTGAAGAATTAAGAATATATTAACTAAATATAATTGAATCAGCTAAATTAACTGAGCAGATCATAGTCATATTTCTAATTGTGACATATGTGTCACTCCAGATTGACTCTGAAAGTTTAAGGTTGATGACCCGATGTGACATTAGTGTCACAGCGATATATCTAATTTGTTTCATATCAATTTGATCAAGACATGTTTCCACAACAGGTTAAATGTTATAAAGGACATATTATGTACGCATTTTAATTCTTAAATGGTTTGAATTGTACCTTTTAGCAACAAAAAACAAGCTTCTGAAAAGGAAGGACAACAAAAACAATCGAGGAGGGACTGTTGTGCTCAGAACATCCTCATTTCAAATGGCAAAAGAGATCGAGCGCGGTTGAGTTTGGAGAGATCAATTATTTTAAAGACTCAAAGAAGACATCATCAGCATTTTTGATATTCCTAATCACATATTCCTAAATCAGTTATACTGGCAGGGATATCAAACCATGACTAACTTTGTTTCTGCCTATTAACTTGTTGTATTAGAAATTTAAAAAAAATTCTCTTTTACCTATTCCTGTTGATTATATGCATACACCAATATTGAAAAATCTGTCATGAGCTAAAACGTGGACTATATCTAGCCACCAACTCAGTTCATCTGATTTACTCATTTAAAACATAAATAGTTAATGTTTAATATTCAAAGAACATAAAATATGCTTGCTAAGGACCAAGTGTAACATTGCATTGGATAGGATTCCATGTTTCACAATTTGATACCTGTTTTTGTCTTCCCACAGATACTGTGAAGCAAAGAAGTTAATATCATCCCACAGTTACAAATGGAAGAATTAGTTATGATAACACGGACAACAAAAGGCACCACAGACTGGGATCAACTGTATTGAGGAGGTTTGCAAGACGATTGCTCCTTTTGTGTGTCAAGACTACTCTGATGACATTCGAGCCTTAATTCATAACTGTTACATGTCTAATATGTAACGTAAAACGCTTTGAGCACATGGAAAAGTGCTCTATATTTTTTTTTAATGAATTATCATTATTATTATTTAAAGGGCCCATGTCATGGCCATTTCCACTGATCATAATTACATTGTTGAGGTATACTAAAATAGATTTATACTGTGCAATTTTCCAAACTCACATTGGTTTCGCATACAGCATCTCTGTCAAGCATGTGTATTCAGCAGTATTCACTTTCTCCACTAAACGACTCGTTGGAGCTCTTGCCCCCCCCTCCCTGTGAGCCTAGTGTGCTCCGATTGGTCAGCTCGGCCACTCGTTCTGATTAGTCAACCACCAGAGAGGCTGCGCCCATGTCTAACAGTGCTTTTCCCGGCTGCTCTCAGCGTAACATCAGTCTTATCATGGCGTCGGCACAGCCGTATATTTTATATACATATATATTTTTAACTGTTGTTATAGAAGAGTGTGACGGCCCCAGGGCCTTTGTCTTACGATGGGGTGGAGCTGAAGAGGCTAATCAGCACGATCACGGACACCTCCGGACACTACGGCCCCAGTCTCTCTCCAAAGCGGCTGCAGGAAGACTAACTCTGCGATCCTCTCAACCACCTATCTCTGCATTTATCACAATAAATGTGCCGTGGTTTTGTAAACTCGTGTATGTCTCCTTGTCTTTGTGGCCTACGAGCCGCTCATAACAAAGAGTAAGTTATTTTTACCCGTTATAAACTACTACTGTTTGATGAGAAATCAAATCATGGTTTGCTATATATGAATTCAGGGAAGAAAGGATAGGCCTACTAAGTATTTCCATTAAACTTTATTTTTAGAAATGTACAAAATGAACATAAATATACATATATACACGGTATATCATCCATTCCTCCTCCTTGCATCTTGCCTGCGCACAGTCGGTGCGGTGCCTTTTAGCACGACGCCTCAGTAGTAGTAGAAGTGCCTTTTAGCACGTCATGGATTGTCCGCCAGGATCTGGCTGGACGAAATCAAATGCAAATCACAAAATATTAGAGAAACTTAGTTGTTTTAGATTCGTTAGTAGTAGTTGTGTAATGAACAGCTTGCCTGCTAATATGCTAACCTAGCTTTGTTTACCTTGGTAGCTAACACGATATGAACGTTAGCTTGGAGGAAAGGCAACTATAATGCAGTGTAATAAAACTACTATGAACAAAAGCTAGTGGTTCATATTAGGCTAGCAATAACGTGTTTATAATTGCAATCGTATACGGGTATTCTGCTACCATACAATGTAACTTGCATGAATACATTGTTTTGCGCTAGCATACAGCTAGCCTCGTTAGCTACATGCAGTATATGTACGGTCACAATGTACGGTAAATCACAGTACAGTATACTGTATAAGTATTCCGTGTGTGTGAATGCAGACATTCTCCTGCTATGAGATACATGTATGCAAGGCCATCTGCTGATATTAGAGTTGATATATGGAAACGCTAGCAACTTAGTTAGCACAGTTAGCACTGTGTCAATGGCTTAGCAGTCCAACACAGTTTACACATTTAAACAGTCTTGTTTGATAAATACACAAATAACAATGCAAACTTACAGGTTGTATACCCAGATCTTCCCCTGCTCCAAACGGTCCAAACAAGCTGTGCATATCCGGCCTCAAACTGGGCAATGTTTTGGAAGCTTTCGTCTGTGAAATGCCGGTTCTTCGAACCTCTGGAGGAGGAACACGCCGCTGCTGGTGTGGCCATAGCTCTTCGGGATTGGTCCCATTTCGTTCCGGGTACCGCATGACATCAGGCGGTACCCGGAAGAATCAAATGGGCAGTGACGTATCTCCAACGAGGCGTTTTGGGGAGGTATTTTCTGTGTTAGAGTTTTACTCGCTACAGGGTGTACTTTGAGGGTTTTGACTCTGCACACCGTTTACATGCATAAAAACCTTCATAACACACAAGGGGACGGGTAATAACCGGAAAAGCATGACATGGGAGCTTTAAGCAAAGTAATTTATGTGGTGTTGAATCTTTTGTCTACAGTTGATGTGTGAAAAATAACAGATAGCCCTAGGGACGTGGCTTGGGAACCGGAAGGTCACCAGTTCAAGTCCCTGAAAGACCAAGTGCTACCAAGGTGTCCCTGAGCAAGGCATTGTTCCCCACACTGCTCCCCGGGTGCCGTACATATGGCAGCCCACTGCTCTTAACACTAGTATTGGTCAAATGCAGAATGTAATTGATCATCCCACAGTTGTCACAGAGGTGGGATCAAGGAATCCTTTCTTCTTCTCCTAAACTGTACATGCAAACTGGAGTATCTAAATAAATGAGTTAAAAATCTGATTGTTGTTTTATCATGTTTGTGATTATGTTCTATGGTAATGGTAGGCTATGTATATCAGTCAGGGATTCCTCTTAATGCTCTTAAACATATTTGTTCTATAATACAAAGTGCTTTGAATATTAAAGGAGGCTCAGTTCATTAATGTCAAAGGATTTAAAAAGCATATTATCTCAATAGTTGTATTTATTTAATAGTTTGTATTCCATCTAGTATTTAATTTAACTGTCTGATTTACTGTTACTCCACCATATGATGCCATCGTGCTTTTATTGTGAAGGAAACCTTCAATTTACATTGTATTCCTCTAAAAAGAGCGCTTCCGTTTAGCTATTTTACAGAAACATTTATTTTATAGTGTCACATATGGAAAAGTGTTGAATTCATATCAGAATTATTGCTCAAAACGCATATTTTTTTGACAATACTTTTATTTTCATCACTGTACCGGAAGTCGTATATCTTTTCCCCACATCTCATTCCGCGCGAATTGACAGCGGAGCCAAAAAACTGTGACACCGCATCCGGATAAACAAACGGGGGAGTGGCTGCTCGGACTGAGGCGGACAGGCAGCCTGTATCCTGACATCTTTTTGCAAAAATATTCCGGATAATAATGCAGTCTTCTAAGAGGAGCGAGAATGACTGGCAGGGGCTGGTGAGCGAGGTGAGTGAGACCGGGAACAGCTGTGCAGAGGCGGACTACTTTTACCGAAGCTCCGGTGTCCATATGGAACAGCTTTACTGTTTGAATAGACCGAGGAGCTGTGCAACATCACAAATAAACCCATTTTTTATTCGTTTTTTGTATGATATGCTGTCTACTGGTTGACTTAAGAGGTGAGCATGTTATTTTGTCAGGCCTCCGGGTTGGAATTTGAAATGCAGTGCCACATGCCCACATCCTTAACACGACCTGATGCAACACACCTGTAGGGCTGCTGCATCTCTACATTGCTCGAATTCATCTTTAATGCTATTTAGAACTATTCGACCAAAGGGGGATATATTAAATAGACATTTATATTAGGCTAATGTTTAAAATGTTTTAAATATGGTGATAACTATATTAAAGTTGTGATAAATAAACAGAGATTAAAGTTTACTTAGTTTGTTGCTGCCTTTAATGCACTTCTAAAATACAACACATTGCTGTTGAAGTATTCGTATTAGCACTATCCTATAATAAAGAAAATGTACTTAAGAAAAATGTCTGCTTTGACTTTATTAATGTTAGATAGTTTCATTTTTATTTTAATACTTAGAATTGACAATTTGTCACTATTTTCACATGTTTTTCTGACCAAACAAACCATCCATTAAGTGGCAAAAATAACTGCCTCATTTAAATTGCATTAGTTGCATCTGTGAAAGAGTGGTTATCATGGCTGAGCTGCAGACACTACAAGCTGCTATTTAATTTGGTTATGAGCTGTACTGACGGATATGAAGCTTTGCTCGTTTCCCTCTGCTGTGTGTTATCTACATGTAAGGCACTTGGCTTCAGTGTGTGTTTTTCCACCTGTAGGGCACTGGTTGGGGTTGGTATTATTTGCACAGTTAAGTGTTTCTAACGAAGCTGGATGATACAGTTGATGTGAAAATGTTATATACAGTTGTACTCTTTGGCCCCTGGAATTAACACGAAAAGTGTCAGTGTCAGCAATTAAAGGGCAAAGCGGCCACAAGAATGCCCCGAAAGCTGTGATCAAACCAATGATGTGGAGAGTCACAGTCCCTAACCTGTGCTCTGTGATGGTGTGTGTGCGGTGTTTGTAGTTCCTGGTGTGTAAGCGGAAGCTGGAGAGTAAGAAGGAGGCTCTGCTCATCCTGTCTAAGGAGCTGGACACCTGTCAGCAGGAGAGGGATCAGTACCAGCTGATGGCCAACCAGCTGAGGGAGCGCCACCAGGGACTGAAGAAGAAGTACAGGGAGCTCATCGTGAGTGCTCATGTTGATCTGTCCTCAGTATTTTCTCTACACACACGTCATTTTCCCTGTCCCCGTGCACTCTCCATGTGGACTTCCAGTTTAAATACTAAACTCTTTTCATATTTTAGGACGGTGACCCTTCTTTGCCACCAGAAAAACGCAATCAAGTAAGTTGTGGTTCAAATCAAGGACTCCATTTATGCCACTGATGCCAAAAGTATTTCTTACTAAAGCATATCTTATATATCTGCTATATGAGTACTGTATTTTTGTTAAAGTATTGCTAAGATTGTACATTTTCAGTGTCAAAATAATATCCACTGACTTTATATGTTCTTAGTTCTCCTTTATGATTCAGTCTCTTAAAGGTTTCAAACATAGGAAAATGTTTGGGAAAAATAATACAATAAATAATACTTTTTAAATAATCTAGATTTATTTTATAAATGTTATTATAATACTTATCTTAATATGTATATATATTTAAAATATACAGTAAAGAAATAAATATTCTACTTGTGGTTGACACTGGAAATGTGATTATTAAGAGTTATATTGTCTTATTTTGTTTGTTTTCTTAATCTTCACTTGTTTACAGAATTTACTTTCTAGATGTGATGTGGCCAATATCTAGACATCTTGGTTAACAGTTATTTATTCATGTATAATCAGAGTTTAGACAGCTACAAGTGTAATATAGGTTAGAAATCAGCCGCAAAATAAGTGTTAATATAATTCTAAATGAAGTATAGAATAGTTAATACAATGTAATACAAAATTAACACGATTACCATTTTAAATATACTTTTCAATGAGAATAATGATCAAACCCTCTCATATCGTGAATTATATTGTTATTGCAATATCAGCCAAATAATCGCAATTGGTAATATTTCCAAATCATGCAGCCCTAATCTCCATGACGATCCACGTGGCCAATCACCAGCTGTTTTCGCGATTCTCCTCCATCTTCTCCTCAGGTGAACCTGGCTCAGCTGCTGAGAGACTCCAGGGAACGAGCCAAAAAGCTGACGGAGGAGGTGAAGGAGCTGGCGCAGAGGCTGACGGAGGCCCAGGGGGACAGCAAGGTGAGGTGACCTGCAGCAGCATGTGACCCCCCCCCCCCAAACACACACACATCCAGTGCATGAGTAGATGTGTTTGAGGGAAGCAGTGAATTTAACTTGTTTTTCCACAGCTGCTAAGGCTGACCATAACTCGACAGAGGCTCGGCGATGAGGAGGTGGGGCCGCGACATTTCCCCCCCCATGAACGTGAGGACCTTGTTCACCAGCTGGAGAGAGCAGGGCTCCAGGTTGATGAATGTTCTTACTTTCTACACAAAAAATCAACATACTGAACCCAGAAAAGCTTCTTATTTGAGATGGTCTCGCATCAAGACTCTAGTAATAAATATTACTTTAATAATGGAGTTTTCTAGGAATATTCACCCCTATCAAGCAGTGGCGGTTCTAAACCAAGTTTAAAGACAGTATGAAGTAATTGTGTAATTACCAGTGGCCACAGGGGGGTCCCTGGTCAGTGTTACGGGGGCACTGGCCCCTGTTGCCACCCCCTAGAACTGCCCCTGCTATCAAGGCTCCGTCCGTAATCGTTTGAATTTTTTTTTGCCAACAATTAACATAATAAGCTGTTGTACATGCCTGACTCTCACCCCATTACTACCATAACTCCCTTACGATACATCCACACAGTGTAGTAAATACTGCCTTTTAGGAGGCTTATAATGTGGTGGTGTTGAATTGGATTTCATTAGGTTGATGAAAAGATTCTGTTCCCTCCTTAAAACCTGCTTTTGAGGTGTTCTTAAAAGCAATTCACCTGTATGCGTTCCAGTAGAGCCTCTCACTCAGCTGAATACAGTATCCAAGGTTTTACAGGTGGGAGCTCCTACACTGCGAACAACTTCCTATGCCCGCTCAGCAAACTCTAACGTCTTTCTGGTTGTCTTTTTCTAGATGGAGGAGATGGAGCACAACATGAAGGCTCTGACCGACGAGCTGCAGGACGTGAAGGCGGAGCGCGGCGTGTTCAGGGAGAAGACCTACCGCCTCAACGTGGAGCTCAACCACGTCCTGGGCAACCGTGAGGCACGCATCATTGATGTGGATGCCCTCTGCATGGAGAACAGGTGAGTGGGACACAAGATCTTTGGGAACTACTTTCCCATATCTCCAGTTCTAGAGAGGCCATGTGTTTTCTACAAGCTGCAGTTTCCCAGACACTTGGTTTCACTCTAAGTAACTGCTTCCTGTGTAGACATGTCTCCATATTTACCCTCTTTCTTTTGCTTTACTGGGTGTTAACACATCAGAATTATTCTGTTTTGGAAATAAAGAGAAGAATATCTGTTTATAAAGAGAACACAATATATTGTAAAAGCTGAAAAGTGAAGTTAAAGATATAACCACATCTTTAAACGTGTTTTTTTTTTTTATTATTTCAAATGTTTCAGAGAAATGTGAAATTTTAATTAAGCTAACGGTGCGTTTCCTCTGGTCTACTGTGAGAGAATTGTCATATATTTACTTTTTATCCGGTTTTTGGCCACATTTTCACCATACATTCATAAGGTCATGAAAATGATAGCGGCAGCCGAACAGATTTTTAACGTGATTCTCGTTGCTGATGCAGGTATTTGCAGGAGCGTTTGGGCCAACTGCAAGAGGAGGTGAACCTGCTGAAATCCAACAGCATGAAATACAAGGTACAGATGGAGGGCCTCGGACTTTGACGATTCATTTGACTTCACGAGAATGTGTATTCTTAAACGGTGGCATTGCAAGCTTTATTCCTCCTTTTATTCGTTCTCTTTTTCTTTCAAACATTTCCCAAATTGGGATCAATAAAATACTTTGTATCTAATCTTATCTTTCCCACCCTCCAACAGACAGCTCTTGAGAGGAGGAAGAACTCCAGCACGTACGGAAAATCAAACAGCAGCAGTCCGCTAACTGGAGTCCTCTCGGCAAAACAAGGTGAACACGCACTGATAAATAGATGAGGACATAATGATGATGAAAATAAAAATATTGCCTTGTAGGTTTACACGTACAATGATTTTTCTTTACCATACACGAACACAGTAAGTGAATAAATTGAACCAAAAGGGACCAAAAATTGAACTATTATAAAAACTATTATAACTTTCAAAATATAAAAATATTTTACTAATATACAAAAACTAAATGGAGTAAATATGACAGTAATCAAATCAGTGATCGGACGTCAAGTGGAGAGCTGTGCAATATATCTATAATGCATTTTAGACATGGTAGACAAAGAAAGTGCTACCCTGATTCTCTCTTCAGTGTAACAAATTGGTTAAAAAAAACCTTTTGTTTCTAGCCGTGCATTATTTAATAACTTCTTCTTTGCCGGTGCTTGGAGCCTCGGCCTGGACTCCAGCGGTGTTACTAATTGTATCGGGAGTGGCAGAGAGCAGGGAATGAGCATGCCAGGATGACTGACAGGAGCTGGCAGCAGCAGCACAGTGGGCTCCGGAGTTAAAGTTAGGAGTGTCTCCAGTAGACAGCTGCTTCCAACTCTCCATCTCTGTCTTACTCTTGTCATGCTGTGTTCCCAAAATCACGTCAAATCACCCTACTTTTTAGGGTGATTTTTTACTTTTAAGTTAAAGTGTTATTGGTGTATTATGTATGGGCAGGTGGTCCCACATGTTTTTGATTATTTTGTCATTTGCACATCTTCCAACTAGGCTGTTGAGAAATGACTAATTTCAAATAAGTTTGCCTGATATTGGATTGCGGTATGACTCACAAAATGGGACTGATTTGATCATATTTCTCATTATCATTTAAAAAACATGTAAAACAATTATAGTGAATACAAAAGAAAAAACATAATTGTATTTAAACACATGTTTTGCCTTTTTAAGAAATAATTTGCCTACTATGATTTGAGTATTGCACTAGACAATATTGTGATTTGTATACATTCAATTAAAGATTCAATATTTAAAGCTTTTATTGTCATATGACTACAGTGTAGAAATGGCAATGCAATTCTTCTGACCTGAGCTCCTCCAACAATCCAACATATATAATAAAATACAAAAATACAAAATAAAAGTAGTGCAAAAAGTCTACATACATGTAAATAGAATATGAAATAAAATAATGTAAATTAAGACAAAATTAAATACGGTTTATTGCATTGATAACTATTTATATAATATATTTGAATATACATTTTAGATTAATTGTGCAATCCCAACTTCAAATAAAATGAGCTGTCTCTGTTTTATCCTCTCCTTCTTTCCCATTCTACCTGTCTTTCTGTATCTACTTTTTATGTTTCCTCTCCCTCTCCTTCGCAGTCCAGGAGCTGCTCCTGGAGGAGCCGGGCTGCAGCCTGCCAGCCACGCCTCAGTCCATCTCCGACCTCAAGTCTCTGGCCACGGCTCTGCTGGAGACCATCCACGAGAAGAACCTGGTCATCCAGCACCAGAGGCACACCAACAGGTACTGAAATACTGCTTTAAAATGATCACAGGAACCTTACCGGCCCCTCTGTTGACTGTAAGGACTTTTTCATTTAACCTCATAAACTTTTCCTTTTTTTACAATTACTTTTACAATTTAAATTGTAATAATCCATGTTGATTATATTTACTATTCACTTAAATGTGTTTCATGACATCAACAGCAAAAGAGGCAATAATGATCATGTCCCCTCGGATGTCATGTGTCCATCCCCACTGATAAACACTGTGACTTTTTCACTCATGTGTCCCGGGAATGAATGCCGATTGTAACCTTTCCCACTAAAGCCAGATGTAAGCGGCTTTATAATGTTTGCATACCTGTTTGAGGATTCTCCTCCACCTCCAAGGCAAACACCGAACTGTGACACACACATACACACACACACTGTTTATCAGGCCCCAGTAACCCGACCCATCGTACCTGGCCTGCAGGATCCTGGGAAACAGAGTCGGAGATCTGGAGAGGAAGCTGAAGACGTTAGAGGTGTCAGGACTGTGGAGTCTCCCAGGTGGGTCCATCGTCCAAATGCTTTCACACAAAGAAAAAAAAGCATTTAAACATGCACCATATGCACTATCCTTCACAAAGTCCCCCCCCATATTTTAATCTCACATACAGTTCTTAAACAACAGAGTAACAGTCATTTATAATAAATATTCTAACAGAACTCTCTTATTAAACATAATTTCAAGGGTGCAGTTATTTGCCATGCATATAAATGTTTTTAGTCTAAGTGTAAAACAAATATTTTACAATTATATTGAATGTTTCCGAGTAATCCAGGCAGAAAACATTGATTTTAATATTTTAATGTCATCTTTACTGGCTGTAAAGCAGTTACTTATGATTAGTAACTTTACTGTACCTCACTCTGAAGTAAGGCATCTTCCCCTGAATACTTAATCCACCTGTAGCTACACCACACCATTAGCAAACACGACCATGTGACCACAGGTAAGTGTGAGCGTGTTGACATAAAGTTGATGTGAAAAAGAAAATGGATAACTGTTATCTACCAGTGCTGAAGAAATGTGCCAGGTAATTGTTTTCATAAACAGAATCCTTTCATACATTGCTCTATTTTATACTTGATGTTTTTAGTAAAAGGCCAACTGGCTTAAAGGGACATTTCACCCCTCAATCAAAAATAAATAACCAATATTATCTATATTGATAAAAATCACTTTAGGTCAGAAGATAAACATGTATTTATTGTTGTTTGGGGGTGAACTGTCTACCAAAAAAAACAAAACGTTCCTACTTTTCTCTCTTTTAAAATTCTAAATACATTATTGAGGTTTTTTGTTCATAACGGTGTTTCTCTCTCTCCTCTCCGGCTGCGTCCCAGGCTTGACCTACCGCGTATCTGTGGGAATTGGGAGTATGTATTCCTTCTGCCCCACTTAGCCCGCCCATGCCCTCCACTCTGTCATGCCAGGACAAATCTGGGCAGACGCCCAGAAAGTGTGTCACCTCGTGCCCACCGTTTACTGTGTGTGTTGACCACCCGCTCATCTGTCTGCTCATGATACCATTGACTGGAGCGGCTGCCTGAATATCACACACTGATCCTCTCGGTCCAGTGGATCCGTCTCAAACACTCAGGGAAAGAAAGATTATATATTAATGTTAGAGTTGGGAGTGTTTTAAGGGCATGAGAGAAGCCTCAGCACGCTACTGTTTTCTGGGGTCGTTTCAAGATGCGCTCAGATTCTCACATCATAAATCACATTTGTGTAGAGTGATACGTAATGCAGCGTCAGAGAAAAGAGAACATGAATTGATTAACAAAAACAAATATGGTGATAGAAAATAAGGTAAAATAAGCTCATAAAAATGCAGAGATTGTTTGTGTAAATCTGTGTCATTATGTGAGACAGTGGATGTACAAAAGAACATTTTAAATGCAGCTTGCATTCAAAAACCCAATAACATAAACAACACCTGCATCCATGCATGAGGCCTAGAAATTAATATTTGTACGTGTTGCAAAGATGGCTGTTTCCCTTCTTCAAAAAGAAACCTCATCCTCAAAGTAGCAAAACCAAACAACAATGTACTCTCCCAAATGTAGGCATCAAAAGTGTCCGTCCCAAATAACATGTACTAAAGAATTTCACCTAAACTATAAATATGTTCCGTGTTTCCCCACTAGAGAGAGCTGTTGAGCCGCGTATTTGTCAGCCTGAAAGGTGGAGGGGCTGCGGCTGGATGGAGGTGCCCTGTCATGAGACCGTCATTCTCACCGCCATAAAACTGACAAGCATCCATTACTGAAAATGATTGCCCACATTACAAACACATTTAGGGGAATGTGCCGTTATTAGGGAATTTGTAGGCGAGGGCCCAGAGTGCCTGACGAGCACGCTGTCCACCACAGTTAGGGAGACAGGAATATAGAGAGAGATGTGTGCGTCTGTGGCCTTGATGTGATATGAAGTTGGGCTGATGGATATTAGAGGCAAACAGGATAGGACGGGGGGGCCTTGGCTGCCTATCGGAGGCCCGGAGAACACTCGAGGTGACTACGCTGTCTCCGGATGAGAGAGAGACAAAAACAATAAGAGTGACATGGATGCAGTGAGTCAGATAAAGATGTGATTGATTGATCGCCACCAGTGAGTGTGAGCTGAACACAGCAAGTGAAAGCCTGTCGGAGTGGCTCGGCTGTTGCAAAGACACAGGTGGAGACAACATTTTTGGGATCTTTTCGGGATCCAGTGACAGATTTTTTCCTGTTAAGAAGAATTGTCCTTGTCAATCCAGAGCTACACAGCACCGCATCGCACTGTAGGGTTCCTATTTGACACGTGTCTCTTATTTCTCATATTATTCAGGATACAGAGTGTATGATCTCATATATTTTTGAAATATTGTATAATGCAGAAGAGCCTGTTGCATTTGCATGATGAGAGTTTGAGTTACATTTGAATAATTTCTAACCATAAAGCAGGGATAGTCTTGAGAATAAAATCTCAAATGGATGCGTTGCATAAATGCAAATTAAACAATTATTGTGACTTTAATGAGGCATCTTTAAGTGCAAGTCAAATTACCAATTATTATTTAATTTTCATTTAACAGCCAAAAAGCATTGAAAAAAGAGAGTGCTGAAGACATTTACGTTCACTACTGCAAATATAATTTGGAAATAAAAAAGTTATTTATTGGGTGTTATATTTTTGTTAAATAAAGAAGCAATAAAGAACATTTACGGCTTCATACATTTTGCAGGTAATGGCACACAAACTAGACAAATAACACAAACGTATCCTAATTAATCCTGAAGGTGCATCAGTGTGTGTACCACATGTCCAATAGTTGTTGAGACATTTCAATTAAAAGAATCTCACACAATAAAAGAATAAACTTTGAAGACGCTCTCAGCTGCTCAATGCGTTATCGCTCACTGTTGCCACGTCAGTATCAGCATAACAATATGGACTGCATTCATAACAATATGGTCTCCGTTCACCATTGATGATTCTCACGCATCGTGTCACCCAGTCATCCATTTTCCCATTCTTCTGTTTGTTTGTGCGCTTCACACATGGATGGTCAGAGAAACAGGCCTATTCACAGTTTGTGTGAAGGCAAAAGCTGATTACAGGCTGTGTGTGTGAGTACAGGTCTGTTTGTGTGTGTTTGTTTGTGATGTCTGGTTTATAGTGCTCCTATCAGTAGCATATGGTGTCAGCCTCAGAGGCGTGCAGCCATCACTAATGAAGACAGATGACAGGGAACTGAAGCCTCTGTAATGCATACGTGCGTGTGTGTGTGTGTGTGTGTGTACTCAAAGTGCCATACATGTGCTCCATCCAATCCACCAAAAACCCTTCATACCACTAACTTTGTCTTTTTGTTTTTGAATGCAAAAGTAACACTTTGTGTGATTGTGGTGTTACAGGAACACGAGACAACCACACAGTGAATGAAAATCTTCAACCGGAGCTTCACCCAACACAAGCCACGCCTTCCCCACACCTGCAGCCACCCAAAGGTGAGTGTGTGATCGTGTGTGACTGGTTCCCCAAGCCATTAACAAGAAAACCTGCAGCTAACCGCATAAGCACTGTAATTAGCCGCCGCGTGCTAAACACTCCTCGCTATCTCCCACGGTTAACCCAAGTGCTTTCCCTTCCCGCCTCCTCTCCTCATTGGTGCAAGCTGCCCAAATGCCATGGCATTTTGGAAATGTGAAGAAAATTCTCGCCCGCTGACATTCAGAAACTTCTGCCGTGTTCTCTTTGAAAGGAGATGGGGGACGGGGGGGGGCCATAAATATGGATGCCAGTTCAAGTAATGTTGCTTTCTTCCTGCATGTTTATGTGTGTGTGTGTGAATGTGTGTGTGGGGGAAAAGGTGGCTGGGACTCTATGTGCAGTCTTTAACCTTTTTGCCTGCACTTCCACAAATATGGGTCAGTAATCCCCAAAGTGAGAGCATATTTTGGCGAAGAGGCAGAACTAAGCTGTTGCTGTTGCCCAGATGCGGCGTCACACTTGTCTTGCGTCCTCTTGTCTGGGGCACTGCTGCTATATTTAGCTTGTTGCCATGGAAGCACTTCAGTCACATAAGTAATTGAAACTTTCTACATTGACACGGTTGTCCAAAAAAAGGAAACTTTTCCTTTAGCTTTCTTTTGAAAGTGTTTTTAGGCCTCAGGGCATTATGCTTTGTGGTTGTGTTCCGATTCTTGAGGAACGCAATATTTTAGAAACCACTGGAGGGAATGTCTTAAAATATGGCACAAATGTACATTTGGACTCAAGGATGAACCTGTTAGATTTGAGTGGACAAGGGACAAGTCACAAAACATGTTTTTGGCCAAGAATTCCCACACTTATTACGACCATTTCACACGAATGGCTGATAGAGGCATTTTGGAAATACATGAAATTAAACTGCAACTGGACTTTTTGGTTGAGTCAAACAATGGCAAGGCATTATGTATAAGTAAGTAACACTATGACTTCATTAATGCACATCATGTGAGCACGTCTTTCAAAATGTTCAGTATATTTTTCTCATTTCCGGACAATAATACCACTTTAAACCTGTTCACCATCTCAGTTTTTGGACTAGTTCTGTATGTGCTTCTCCTCAGGACTTATTTCCTTTTACTGTGTGTGCAGGAAGGAACAGAAAGAAGTATCTGTTTTCAGATAAAACTGTGGCCTAAGATCAAGTGAGTAATTAAAACGACCAGTTGTCTCCTCTCCCCTCTCCCCCTCGTGTCAGATGGATCATCGTGGGAATGCCACTCCGCTGGCAGCGACCTCGGCACAGATGGCACACCTGCACTGCTCCAAATCCTGCAGCCTCTCCCGGGGTTGGAGACGAATGGAATTGACAGGAGAGGCGGAGAAATCTTGACGGAAGACGGAGCCCCCTTGGAACTGGGGGAGGGGCGCAGTCCGGTGGAGGAGGCGGGGCATGAGGTGGAGGGCGTGGAGGATGAAGAGCTGGGCTCCACAGTGGAGGAAGGAGAGGAGGCCGCTCTGGCGCTGGGTGTCACAGCCACTGACTCACACCTTCCCTGGCTTCCAATCAAACAAGCGTCTGCGGATCTTTCAGAGGCGGGTCGGCATCAGCCCGGAGAGTCCCAGGACGATGGGTCAGATCATGAACCTGAACATGTAGAAGCCTCAACCCCAGAGAGCCGGTCCAGCACAGGGGAGTGGGACGTTTTGGATCTGCGCAGAGACGCCTGTCGATCTGAAAACTTGGCATGATCTCCCCTCGTTTAAAGACTTACTCAAACTCTTCTCCTTCTTATTGATAATTGGCAAAGCCTTGTGAAGCTGAACGGCTTGTCAGTATGACATTTCAACGATATGTGTAGGAGGTACTCCAAAGGATTCCTGAAAAACTAGTTCTGAAATATCAGAGAGAAGTAAACAAACATAAGTACACTATGCATTGAAAGTTAATTCTCAATGTAATTTGAGAATGAAAGGATATTCAAATCAAGGGAAAAGCTTACCGGTCCAAAAGCAAGTGGCACTTTACATTTTAATAACTTATGTTAAGGGAAAACAGAGACATGAATGTTATTGCGCAGCAGGGTAATTCAATGTAGTGATTTATTTGAGGCTCCCTACAGCTTTCATTATGTAATTATAATAATAATACATGGTATTTATAAAGCGCTTTTCCTGGTGCTCAAAGACGCCTATACCATACAAGTCAATTACCCCCCTTTAACCTTTGTTTAAAGCCAGGGTTCTTGTGGATACTTAAACATTCTTAAAAGGCATTGAATTATTGAATCTAAAAGTAAGGCATTAATTGGTAATACAATGTCTAAAATCAATCTTTTACAGTCTAAAAACTGCTAAGACATAGAAAGTAGTAACAGGAAGTAGTAGTTTTGTCTCTAAGATATTTGACTTTGGTTTGCTAACGTAGGTTTGGACAGTAGCTGTTTTTAGGGAGGGGCTTAGCCAAGGTTTGATAGCATGAATCATCCTGAGTTGTATTCACTCAGCGTGGCCAGCGCTCATTAGCTCCCTGCTCCACCTAGCCTCTCTGTTTTAGTCAATAAAACGGAGAGAAAACACTTTTTCAGCCGGAGGTTCATTTTGTACACGGACAGGAACAGACAATCTTAAAATCAATGGAGTTGCAAACTTCATGCCCTACAGGAAGAGTTACGAGAATAACAAATATGGCCTCCCTCCGTCCTCCCCCTGCGATTCGATAATCCCAAATGTTTGCTTTCTTCTTCCTCCTAAGGGATGCCACTAACTGAGAGGGGGTCTTAATTGACTTACCAAAAATTGAGAAGAATGTGCTTTGTACATTATGTGTAAATGAATAACTTGAATATTACAGATTCTATTGATGTCTATCCATCTGTACGGGTGAGTTTTTATTTATTTGTATTTATTTGGACGTAGGTATTTGGATGACACTACATGTGCCTTATATGTGGGAAACACTGGTATTTATTCATATAAACTGCATAAACCTGCAATATGAAGTTGGTATTTTCTGACCCATGCACATACAAAACAAAAACACTTTGACATTGAACGATTTTGATTTATATTTGTTTCCACGCAGACAAGAACTTCCTCTGATCTAAACTTGTGGCTGACTTTGTGAGCTTATATTTGTTTGAGCTTTCACACACTGATGAGGTTTGTTTGATATCAATTTTCTGCACCAGAAAATGAGCCCATATCTGCAGCAAATCTCTTCTCTCTCTCTCTCTCTCATTTCTATATGTTCACAAGGTTGGTCTCATTAATTCTGAATGCAGCAGTCTCTGTCTTTTGATTGTTTTGCAGATTAGTGCGGCTTAGCTTGATTCTCTTCTTTCCAGCTTTGAGAGGGAATTGTTCTGACATCATATAGCTACAGTTACACTAGATATGTTGAAATCTGATTTGAAATTTCATTAACAATTAGTTTTTGGTATTATTTTCATTTTGGGTTTTCCCTGAATTCAACTTTTTTGTGTCCAAAGGTTTTATTGCAGCTCAATGTAAATAAATATGCCACCTAGCGCAGAGGAAGCATCTCAGTCCAATTGTATGACTTAAAAAACAAAGTTAGGACATTTTGCCATAACTGTAAAAAGGATGAACGCCCATTTTGATTAGAAGCCAATATAATGCCCAGTGTGTAGAGAGGCACGCAGGTGACAGCTGGCCTCTCCAGGAAAACTGTGTCTAAGCCAGAATCCATGAACTGCTTATTCTGCAGAAGGCCACTTGCTATTTTTAATCTCTGACACAAAATAGAGGCGAGGAAAATAATTTGAGTTTTGGAGCCATGCTGTGTACAGCGTCGGCACATGTGCCAGGCAGCTGATTTGGCACAAAGCAGCAAGCGTTTTTATTCTGAGGAGTTTTAAGTTCATAAAACCAGATGGAGTCTAAAATAATGGAATTGCAAGATGATGCCAGGTTGTATTGGGTTTCTTTTAAAGTCATTAACCGTTTATTTTTACTTTGGCATCCATATGAAAGCCAAAGATCGTTTCTCTGATGTAGGGAAGATCTATCTGACGAAGAATGATCCACAGTATAATGTGAACAATTACATTAAAGTGATGTTTCTAAATCTGGCAGAGCTGGCATTATTTCTGCCAGATTTGGAACCCCTTCTGTAACTATGGCCGGCATGGTCATAATCTCACAAAAATCCCTATGCTGTAAATTGAAAAAAAGTGTATTCTTAATATATACAAATAAACATGCAATTATGTCATTACTGACATTTCATTTTGCACCTCAATATTACTGGCCCATTTAAGTCATTAACACAGTTTTACATCAGACCTAATCAATGGATCACTACTCTTTCTCTCTTCCCTTTCAGGGCTTTTCCCGCCAGAATGTGCATTTTGAAGTGCTTTGATTGGTTGCTGTCAGATGATTTAGGTGTGTGTTCTCCTCTCTGTATCTGTTCTTCAAAGAGTGATCACGGAGAAATCATTTGCGTGTGATTCCTGTAGCTTTGTAGATGGGTTGTCAGCATAAAACCACTAATCTTATGATATCACAGGATGAAGTGGCTTTGTTCTGATCCCTCGCCCCCCCCCCCAGCTATCTCACCCTGCAGAGTGAGAGAGAGGAGTGGGTCACAGCAATGCTCAGCGGCTCTAATAAGTGTGACCACCAGGGAGGGTTTGACGCCCCCTCATCTGTGGATGCTCCAAAGGTCTGAGGGATGGGGGTGGACAGGGGCATGTGGAGCCAGCAGTTTCCAGGCCAACCCCTCCGCAGGGTTAATTACTATACCAACCAGACGCCCCTCCACTGATGGTCAATGCCCTTATGATCCATGCTTCATTTGCTCACCTTGCTTTTTTACGCTTACCTGAGTTTCATCATGTGGCGCCTCGGAGACACTCGAGTGCAGCTTGGTCCCAGGGTGCTCGATTTGAGGAGTGTAACTTTCTGCTCTGTTGCTGACAAGGCTGTTATTATCTGAGATAATAGACCAAAGAGGGGGAAAAGCAGGCAAAATATGTCAGTCATCTTTTCCCTGCTTTTTTCATGTGGAGTTGATCATTCAAATGTATCATCGATATGATGTGCATCATTTGCTTGGTTTGCTCCTACTGCAATTACGCTGTGCATGACTCAGCAGCTGCCAAATAGGAATATGGTAATCGTGCACATTTTAAATATAAAGGAAAAAAAACATCCTAAATCTCCGTGTTATGTTATATTGGGGTACACACAATGGTTCTCTTCCTGTGTGTGAGAAGATTACCAGAACATTTGTCTTCCCTCGAAGCTGCAAAGCTAGGTTAGCGGTTTCCCTTTATTTAAAGTCTTTATGCTAAGCAAAGCTAACTCTACTTGCTGCACTGATAAAAGAATGGTACACATATTGTCATCTACTCTCCCAAATAATTGTATTTTTAAAAACGATATCCTTAAAACAATAGGTAAATACTTATTCCCATAATAGGAAACATTTAGCCCTTATAGTTTCCTTCATCTCTGAATACTCTTAGTTTCCTGTGACCTACCTCAGTAGATTTTCTAGAAACTGACTGCAGTAACGACAAAAAGGCTCCGAGGGCCCTGCTTGGCAGCCGTCAGCGACTGTTGGAGGAACGTAAGCTGGTGGACGAACGATAAGCAGGAAGGCCATGCCGGGGGTCAGCATGGAGCCACGGCATACAGTCAGATCTCTATTAGGATAGGAGATGGTGGGCCCGTCTGATAAGAGCTGACAGGGCCAATGTGATATCAGTGATGTGAGATCTTTCGCCTCCCCCAAGCAGGAGAATCAGAGTTGGGCCAAACTTATCCTTGAGCTCTTCCATAATGAGCTACTCTTCAATTATCTGTCTCAGATTTCCCAAAAATAGCTTAAAAAATGTAATGATGCATCAATGACTATCGCCCTGTAGCACTCACATCTCATGTGATGAAGGTGCTTGAGAGACTGGTCTTGGCCCATCTCAGACCGTAGGTGAGATCATTCCTTGACCCTCTGCAATTTGCCTACCAGCCTCACCTGGGGGTGGACGATGCCATTATTTACCTGCTGCAGCGTGCTCACTCATACCTGAATGGATCGGGTTGCACTGTGAGAATCACCTTTTTTGATTTCTCCAGCGCATTCAACACGATCCAGCCTCGGCTACTGAGTGACAAGCTGCAGGCTATGAGGGTAAACTCGTCCACCATCTCCTGGATTACCAACTACCTCACGGACAGACCACAGTACGTCCGGCTGGGCAGTGTGCTGTCTGATGTGGTGGTTGGTAGTATTGGAGCCCCACAGGGGACTGTGCTGTCTCCTTTCCTGTTCACCTTATACACCTCTGACTTTCAATACAACTCAGAGTCATGCCACCTGCAGAAGTTTTCGGATGACTCTGCAGTGGTAGGGTGTATAAGGGATGGACGGGAGGAGGAGTACAGAGCGCTGGTGGGTGATTTTGTTGAGTGGACTGGAAGAAATCATCTGCTTCTGAATGTGGCCAAGACCAGAGAGATGGTCATTGATTTCAGGAGGAAGAGGACATCTCCTCCTCTGCCCCTGTGCATTCTAGGAGAGGATGTGGCAGTTGTGGAGGTCTACAAGTACCTGGGAGTGCACTTAGACAATGGGCTGAACTGGAGGATCAACACTGACGCTGTGTACAAGAAGGGGATGAGCCGACTCTATTTTCTGAGGAAGCTGAGATCCTTCAACGTATGCAGCAAGATGCTGGAGATCTTCTATCAGTCTGTTGTGGCTAGTGCACTCTTCTTTGCTGCGGTCTGCTGGGGGGGCAGCATCAGAGCCGGTGACACCAGCAGGATCAATAAACTGATCAGGAAAGCTGGGTCAGTCATCGGCATCAAGCTGGACCCCTTTGAAGCTGTGGTGGAGAGGAGGACACTGAACAGGCTGTTGTCCATCATGGATAACCCCACCCATCCTCTCCACCTGCAGCTGGACAGTCAACGGAGCTCCTTCTCCAACAGACTGCTGCAGCTCCCCTGTCACAAGGACAGATACTGGAAAACATTCCTGCCCACTGCAATAACACTGTACAATAAATCACCTCTGGCTGGAAGAGAACTCTCTGCTCCATAGTTTCTCTTGAAATAAAACCACGTTGTACATTTTACTCATACATAATCTGTTTCATATTTAATACTCCATATTCCATATATTTTGAATATATATATATATATATATATATATATATATATATATATATATATATATATATATATTTGTATATATATATATATAATATCTGCATGTATATTTTCTATTTCGACATGTATATTTTATATTTTATATTTTATTTTATTTTTATTTCTATTCTTGTATATTTTGTAGTTGTTTTATTGTAAAATGCCTTTTATGCTGCTGTAACAACAATTTCCCAATTTGGGATCAATAAAGCACGATCTATCTATCTATCTATCTATCTATCTATCTTTTGGTAGTGATTACAACTCACTGCAGTTCATGGAAGGATGAGCTTTTACAGAATAGCATTGTATTTTTTTCTTCACTATCAAACAGGGATCACTTCATTATGTAATCTTGCTGTTGCAATTCCCTCTCAAACTTTGCAAGACTACTAACTACATTAGGACAGTGTATAATGAGTATTTCCTTTTTTGCACAAAGATATTTCCACTTTTTAACCTTTTACGTCCAGTTCTCTTAAGCTGTGGTTGCAGTACTGTTTGAGTAGTGATCAGTCCTCAGCGGCAAGAGCTATTTCACACGGCTGGACTGATATTTAATAGCCTATGAAAGTTAGGCAGTCAGAAAGATGGGAAATCCCCAGTATTTTATATTACCAATGCATATTTAAGAATGATGACTTTGTTGTAGCGTCGACTTATCCATAACCATCACCATCAATCCCCCAGCTATAAGCAATGAGCCATTTGCCATTATGCAGCTTGTTAGCAATGTCCAGGCTGTGTAATTACCTGTGTCAACGGCAATGATTGTCTTCAGTGACAGATTATTCATCACTTTATAATTGTAGAGGTTGAAAGAAGGGTTTTTAGCTCTTCTAACATAGCTGAGAAATGTCCATCACTTTCCCTACTGTTTGTGCATGTCTGCAGTCCTTTAAACTACAGGACAGGTACTTCATAATCATTCTGGGAAGAAATGTTTGTACTGCAGTTGTCTGCTGCATTCCTACATACAGTTTAAATAGTTGATACAGCCCTTGAAGCTATGAAGAGTTTTAGATGAAGAGGAAGTCAGAAGTCAACTTTATTGTCAATCTTCTGTGTGTGAGATGCAGACATGGACATCAAAATGCTGTTTCTCACAATCCCGAGCAATATAAATTAAATATCTAAAAGAATATAAATATATATATATATACATATACACACATAATAATCATATATATATACAAATACCTACATTAAGAGGCATTGATACAAAATAAAAAGGCACAACAGTCAATATATAATAAAATAACAGTCACTAATAAACGGATGAAAATGATTATATTACAGTAAAAATATGTACAGTAGTGCAAATGATTTTCCTCTGTTAATTTCTTTACAGAGGTGGATTAAATACCTAAATATTTCACTCAAGTAAAAGTGGTAATACTGCAGTGTACAAATGAGCCTATGTTACAACAAAAGTCCTGTGATTAAAATATTTCTAAAGTACAAAAGTATTAGCATCAACATATATTTAACGTAAATACTAATATTCCAAAATATACTTATGCACGATGGAACATGGTTTATTAAAAATGTTTTTGTGTTTTTTTTTTTTACTATAGCCTACTGCTGAGTAGGCTACCTTGCAAATTCCACCAAGTGATCAAAAAAGTTTTTGTTACCTATCATAATACAATATGATATATTGTCTGTTGATTATATTTAGTATTAATAATCTTAACATTAATCTTCAAAGCCGTCAGATAAATGTAGTGGAGTAAAAAGTACAATCAGAGGTCTCTAAATTGTATTTTTAGCAGAACATGTTCATAATTGAACAAGTAAAGGAATTTGGAAAAAGCACCTACTGTAGTAACTTCCCACCATTACTTTTTCTCATTACTCATGCAATATTTGCATAATGTTTGCAGTGATCCTGTTGCAATAAACCTGCTGCAGTGAGGCTTCGGGCTGGGGTTTGTGTGTGTGTGCGTGCGTGCGTGTGTGTGTGTGTGCGTGCGTGTGTGTTTTTCGGCGGGCTCAGCATCATCACACCGATAGTCAGCATCTCCTAAATGCAGCATCAGATCTGCAGGACTGCAATAGTTCCTGGACATAATGTGCATGTCTCAGTAAAGCCTGGACCTTTCTCAGTTAAAAGCACTGAGTTATACTAATTTTGCACAAGGACAATAAAAATGAGGTAAGAGTTTCCGGTCGCCATTTTGCAGGGTGTTTAACGGGTTTGGGGTAAAAGTCTGCAGGAGGATACATAAGCTGAGAGGGAACCCGGTGGAAGGATGTCCAGACGACAGCGTGTAGATTTGGGTGATGATTATTCTCCGGGTAAAAAGAGACCCTCGGATAGGTACGTGTTGTTGGAATGTTCGCTGTTGTTGTCGTGTTGCAAACGTTTACTCTGCGCATGTTTAGCTAGCAAGTTAGCTTAGGCAGGGGTTGAACTGCATGGCTGTTCGGATACAGACTGAAAAGCTAGCTGTGAACGGTTGCTACTGTTATGTAGCTTGCAGAGTGGCTAATTAGCTATGTTAGCAAACAGACTGCACGTGGTTGCCAGCTACCTTAAAGCCCCGTGTCTTTAATAGAAGTGAGCAGACAACGCTACGTTTCATGAGACAAAGTCGACATGTCATGAGGAATTCCTGGTTGTTATGGCATGTTTAGGGGACAGAATGACGAAGTAAAGCTGCACACAGGACAGTTAGCCAGGGTAATGCTAGCCTGTTAGCTGTCAGGTGTAACTGCCACTAGTGTCAGCTCTCTGTGAAGATGTTAAATGACATTAAAATGCGTTAAAAATAACGTAAACGAGACCGGTTAGGGCTTTATTATTTAGAGGACCCCGGTTGAGGCGAATAAACTTGTCGACTTCACGGAGAGTGTGCTCGGAGTCATTGCCTCAGATTTTTGAACCGATTTGACCTTTTTAGAAACTATTAGAACATCGGTAATTGAACCATGATATCCATTAAGTGAATACATCTATTATTTAATACTCAACGAAGAAGTACGTAATGTTTATGTAACAGAGCTTCGCATCATCCAATGTACATAATGCCGCTCTCACATGAGAAGAAATGCGCACATCCAGAGAACAACATGATGCTCATCTCTCTATTAGTGATGTCTTGCCTCACTATACTCATCTCTCTACTACTTATGTCTGGCTTCACTATACTCATCTATCTACTAGTCTTGCCTGGCGTCACTTTTGTTGATTCATTTCTGTCCCTCTGTAGATATATCATACATTTAGTCAAAACTGAGTAGTAAATAGAAGTTAAAACATTCAATAGACATTGAGTTTTATTGTGGACACAAAAGTAACAACGGCTGTAACTCATTAAAGTAATTTCTCTCAATTTGCCTCTCAAATATGGATATTTACTTAATATTTCAGTTTTATGTTGTATTAAAGTCAATTGTTGTGATTTAGACTGACAGAACAAGCAGGTTAAAGTTAACCTGCACTTCCATGTTCAAACCCTCATTTATCATTAAATGCCATTCACACATAAGCGTTGCAACAGAGCTCCACACATCATCGTTGTCTAAATAATGTGAGGATATAAATGGTTCTCATTCTGCTCTGAAGCTGTAAAATACATCTTATTGCATTAGGAGAACACATCTGGGGATTGTGGCGGTTAACTCATGACCTTTGCATGTTACACTTGATCAGGCAGTGCTTTTTGTAGAAGTGAATACAAATGCGCAGTAACCTTTTCATTCAATTTGAAGAAATGAACTTGACATGGGCTAACATTCGTCTGTGTGCTTAGTCAAATCTTTTCCATTTCTCAGGCAGAATGTTAAATCTGTGGAGTTTTTTGGAGTGTACAGGCATTTTGGGGTTTTATTGTTTAGAGCTGAGCAGTATAACCAAAACCTTCTATCATGATATTGGTCATTTTTCAGGATAAACCATGTTTTTTGTCCTATAACGGTAAAAGTCAAACTGAAAGTGGACAACACAAGTCATTTGAAGAAGTCTTCTTGTTCTCTATTAAATGCCTGAAAGAGATCTGACTTTCTCAGACCTAATTGTTATTAGTGCAATATCCAAATCGACTTGCGTGCAATATCTCTTAATTGTAAAATATGTGAAAATATAATCATTGATTAAGACTTGTGTTGCTGCAGACATTTTGTGGCTTATAAATCATATTCCACAGATTTAAGAAATATCTGATTGTTACAGATCATCCTTAAAAAAATCACATTATCATTTTTTTAATATATCTGTGAATAATATTGAAAATAACAATTTCTCCATTATCGTGAATCATATTGCAATATCAGCAAAAGTCGTGCCCTAATATGTTTGCTCAACAAATCTTGACTTCCTGCTTCCTTCTCCCTCAGGCGTGACCGCGACAGAGAGCGCGATGATCGGCCCAGGGATCGGGACAGAGACGTGAAGTCCTCCAGCATGCCCCGCAGCGTGGCTTCGTCTGGCAGTGCGGGCTTCTCTAAACAGCCCTCCCTCCAGCAGCAGACCAACCCCTACACCAACCTGCCCCACACGCCTCGCTACTACGAGATCCTGAAGAAGCGCCTGCAGCTGCCTGTGTGGGAGTACAGAGAGCGCTTCACCGACATCCTCATGCAGAACCAGTGCTTTGTGCTGGTCGGGGAGACAGGATCTGGGAAAACCACACAGGTACCAGCACTTAAACTGTTTCAGTAGTGAACACACTCAAATGGGCCATGAACAGCTGATGGATTTCAAACAGTTTCGTTGTTAAGTGTATTTAAAGTTCTTAGCAGAGCGGGGTTGTCTGTTTTTTAAAATCTGAAAGAGAGAAGATTAGAGTAAATCAGTGGTTGAGCCTCAGTCCTCTCCTGAGGGGAAAACAAACCACTCTTCCACCACTTGTTAAATATAGTGGTGTAATCTTGTCAATGCACTCTGCCTTAATGATGCGAGAAACCATTTGTATTCCACTCATTCATCGTGAATTTTCAAACAGACTTTCAAGGAATGTTACGTTTTTGGTCACCTCTGCAAATACAAACAGAATACGGAAGGGTTGAATTGCTTTTAAATCAGCTGTTTATTTAAATTAGATATTTATTTGTATTTCTTACAATTTAAGCGAGAATATTAGGTATTGTATTGAGGCTAAACGTCTCTTTCACAATTGTTCTGTATTTGCTTTGTTTTAATGCAAATGCAGCTTACATTATTGAAAACATACAGACATTCCTCCAAACATCAGTGAACAAGTTGTCGGGTATGAATTGTATCTGACCATCGGGTATATGCTTTGCAGGACATAGCAAGCTGTTGTAATGCATTTTAAAGTAGTACTTCGAAATCCTTTTGTTGTCATAACAAAATTGTCACTACACCCACTGACTCACTTCATCTTCATTCATTTCACAAATGTCATTTTCATTTAAAGTGGACAATTGACTCCCCCCTAGCATTTACAAATGGTATTATTGTTGGTGCTTCTTGAGCAAAGTTTCTAAACAAACTGAAACTGAGTTAACATATTTTGTTTGTTGATTTTAATTTGTAGAAGAGGATCGATCTACTTGTTAAAATATTGTTGGCAAAGTGTCTCCCACGAGCAGCCTGTCTTTCCAAAGCAAGAACTAGAAACCCCTCTTTCCTTCCTCCTCCGTGAAGTTGGCTCTCTTTAAGCTATTCTTTTGAGGTGCCTCTCCTGCCTGCGAAATGCTCTCTGGTTTGCATGGATCCAGAGTAATGCCATAGGCTTTTATTGTGAAAGTGTAGCCGTAATGTGCTGCTCTTGACAACGTGGGCTGCACGATTATGTCCATGATGATGTGCAATCAGCATTTCCTACATGATTATAACTTATAGCAAAGAAGTTTCCACTTGAAAGATGCCATTTATACTCAATCACAACCGGACTTGTCTTGCTGTCTGCAGATCCCTCAGTGGTGTGGGGACATGGTGCTGGCAGTGGAGGGTCCGAAGAGAGCGGTGGCCTGCACCCAGCCTCGCAGGGTCGCCGCCATGAGCGTCGCCCAGAGGGTCGCCGATGAGATGGATGTGATGCTGGGCCAAGAGGTGGGCTACGCCATCCGGTTTGAGGACTGCAGCTCTGCCAAGACGGTGCTCAAGTAAGAAAGATGGTTACAAATATTCCTCTTGGCTCTCTTTCATTTAAACAAACAAAAACAATCATAAATCTACAGCTTATATCTGGAGGAGTTGATTATAGTAGGAGCTTATAATCCTAACGGGAGCCTCAAAAGATATCCTAAAAGTGCACACACATTTTGGCAACTTCAGCATTATACAGTTGATTAAATCACATGTTGCTATTCTGTCCCATTTTCTGCATTGAAATCCTATAACGATATGAATGCCGTGCTCATTGCAGGGGGGTGGGGTTATTTATATCCTTTTTCACAGTATGTGCTGATCGAGCCTGCTTGTCTTGTGTTCAGGTACATGACAGATGGAAGGCTGCTGCGGGAGGCCATGAACGATCCTCTGCTCGAGCGCTACGGTGTCATCATCCTGGATGAGGCTCACGAGCGCACGTTAGCCACAGATATCCTCATGGGGGTCCTCAAGGAGGTCGTCCGCCAGAGGGCTGACCTCAAGGTAAGAATAACAAGCTACGTTCATTTGGTGTATTTATATAAAAACAAATCCTTTCCTTTCAGGCCTCAGGATTTACAGATTGCAACCCTTTTGATAGTCATTTCAAAGGTAGTGAGTTCCTTAACCTTTAAAAGATACTTCACCCACGACATGAACAAAGATGCAAAAACTGAGAACATTCCTGATGAATTAAAACAAATAGAAGCCACATTTAACAAAAGCAAAGCGATACAACTTACAAATACATACTTGCAAACAAAAATTCACATGTATTTGTGATTTAGTGAGTATACAATTGGCTACATCAGACTTGGATTATACTGCACACGTTCTGGGAGAAATGGTGAACGGATGTTTTGACATCGTTTTGCCGCCCTTTGTTGTTAAGCTCACCCCCATTTACTTAAATGTTACAAGAATGTAAGATTCATCAATAATGTAGCTTTGAAGAGCTACAGGGGTAGTAAATGATATAAGAAATGATCGTTTTGTGGTTAAAGTATTTCTTTATGCACCCTGTTTATTCTGGAAAATCAGGTCTAGCATTTATTTGGTGTTATCTCTAGACTTGGTGTCGACAGTACTCTTGACAGTAGTCTGATTTGTTTCCACTTAACGCCTTCAAAATGCTGTTAAAGCTGCAAACTGCGGGATAAATTCAGTGACAGTCAGAGTTTATATCCGTCCCCTGTCATCCCTCCCTTTTGTCACATTCCCCCCGACAGTGTCAGTCGGTCAGACAGTGTCTGACAGCTGTGTACATGTTGAGGAGGGAGAAATGCAGTAGTAGTGGAGTCAGTCCCATTTTAGGCCAATCAACCCGGGGGGGGGGAATGGTGATGTGTGCACAGGCAGCCAGAAGTTTTATGGGCAGACTGCGCCTCACATCATTCTCATAAAGCAGATGGATAATGACTGGTTGTTTGTCAGCGAGGAATCAAAGGTTGGATTGTTGTTCGCCGACTGTTAAATGAGGTCTAGGTTATTGGGAATGATCATCCACCCACACCCCTCTATCTCCTTCATCCCTATCCCCTACCAAATTTGAAAGTTTAATTTGCCTTGATTAAGAGCAATTATGATGCCTCGCAGAGCGTAAAGCGAAATGCCGAGACACTGGCCCCTGAAAATGTTTGAGATTGAAAATGGGAGACGAGTTTCCCATCAGAATCCTAATGCGCCACAGCTAATGGCTCCAGAGGGAACATTGTGTACCCAACATCAGGAACAAGGACTGTCGTCGCTCTGTGTAGGTCAGACACTTGGAGGGTGGTGCCAAGTTGTTCACGCGGACACCGACTTGGGTTCGTGCCGAGGCCCTCATCCTAAATTGCGATTTCAAAGCATTATCCATGCACTCTTCATCTACTCTGGATTCTGTTGCAGCACTTAGCATGTGTCCTTATCCTCAATTATCATCAAGCTATATAAATAACATACTCATTGTACACTTGAGTGCCCATAATCACCACAGTCTTTTCCACTCCCTGCTTTTATCCTTCCTTTCTCCTCTCTCATGAATACATTGTCCCGTTCTCTTCGCAGGTCATCGTCATGAGTGCCACGCTCGACGCCGGAAAGTTCCAGGTGTACTTTGACAACTGTCCACTGCTGACCATCCCCGGGCGCACCCACCCCGTGGAGATCTTCTACACCCCCGAACCGGAGCGGGACTACCTGGAGGCGGCCATCCGAACCGTGGTCCAGATCCACATGTGCGAGGTGGACGAAGGCGACCTGCTGCTCTTCCTCACCGGACAAGAGGTACCACTCCAAAGCTTTTCACCTACATCTACTTTTTTTGTTTGTGAGGCTTGTAAACAGGCTTATCAAGGTATATCAAGTGTATTGCGATTTGATTCCCAATTTGAAAGGGATTGATCATTTTTGATAATACATGAAATGATAATGGTTTTTTTTTTAAGAAGGATCGGTACCAAGCAATTATCTTCATTTAAGTCTGTAGAATACTGTTTGTTAGCCAGGTAACGTTTCATTTAAAATGGTGTTTTAACAAACTCTTTTAGCAAATATTGTGCTCCCTGCGATTTGAATATTGCGCAGTCCATATTGCGATTTTTATTTTATTTGTATTTATTGTGCAGCCTTAGTATATTTGTCTTTACAATTTCATCAGACAAGTGAAAGACTGGAGCTAATATTTTATCAACTAATCCCTTCAACTTCAACTATAAATTGAGCTGCAACGAAATAATCATCTTGTTATCAACTCTTAAATAATATTAAACTAATACATCGCTTTATTTGCTTTTTTAAGTATCTCTAAATAATGCCATCTTCTTAAATTTGGATACTTTCAGTTTTTTCTTTTTCATCACAAACACTTTAAACAACAAATAAATAATAACAAGACTTTAGACTACTATTTAAGTATGCTAACCAAAATTATATATGTACCACATGTATATGCTGTCAGACCAACACCACAGATAAGTCAACTCCTTGATCGATACATCGACTTGGTATAGAATTACATACATTTATTATAGTGTTACGTTTGTGCAATTGAACAAGGTTATAAACTTATGCTGAGATTGAATTCATCTCCAAAGTTAAGAGTGTGCACATTAATCTAATTACATAGATGAGTTACTCACACACACGGTGTCATGAGCACACACTCGTGTCCCCTCTGCACAGGAAATGATTAATCCTCAGCTTGATGGATGTTAATGCACGTGAGTTTAGCTGTTTGGGAACCACCGCGGTTTGCACTGAGAACGGGAAAAGGAAAAAAAAACACGAGTGACCCAGATTCTGCCCTTCCCACAAATCTCTGAAATTAAGTCATTTATTATTTTTTCCCTCCCTGCAAATGTTATCCACTGATGTGTAATGGAGGGCAGGGTTCATGCCCAAAATGATGAATTTGGTCACAGCAGGGTGAACACACACACACACACACACACACACACACACACACACCAACACACACCAACAAATGTTTCAATATCCTGATCATTGGACAGGAGAAGCCTGAGCTGCTACGATTATTCTCTCTGACAAAATGCTGTTGGAGACCACGTGATAACCTGTAGCTGTACGACTGGACAATATTATCACCATATTTTCTTTTAAATTGATCAATAATCATCAAGTTTTATATTTTAATGGTCATAAACAATTCTAATGCTGCTATTGGTTTACCCTTTTTGACTTTTGCATTCATTATAGACGCATTAAGGCCCTGACACACCAAAGAGCACGTCCCGACGGACCCGATTGTTGTGTCGCCTCACGTCTCCTGCGTCTTGGCCAAAAAGTCGCACTGGAACACACGGCAAAGACTTCAGCCGACGGCCAAGTAGCACGTACGCACTGCGCATGCGTGAGTGGCAATAACTCTCCTTACCAGCAAGCGGCGGTAGTGTGTATTCGTCATTCAAAAGAGGCAACCGGAAGACAGACTGCGTGATATATACAAACAACAAATAGCGTGCGTTCCATTTTCACTCTCGTCCATCACAGACTGTTTCACATAACGACTTATCAAAAACATGTTTGAAGATGAAAAATAATAATCCGTTTCGCTTCTCATGCACTGATTCGCTAAGCTGAACAGCCAATCAGAGTGATTTATTTTGCCGATAGCCATGTTGAATCGGGAGCGGAAGGTTGTCGGCACGGCCGAAAAGACACGACGGTGCGGGACACACCAATCCGAGTAGGGCGACCGGACGCTCATCGACGGCCAGACATCTATCGACGGCCGAAATCGGCTTGGTGTGTCAGGGCCTATGGCCAGGGCCTTGACATGTGAAAATAACGAAATATGGCATAACATATCAACACACTAATTGGATTATATGTACGATACATTCACATATTGTCATGGAGTGAAGTACAACATTAAATGGTGTGGTATTTAGTTTTAGGATTATTCTCTTTATGACAACTCTAAAGAAACATGAAGGGTAATTATGGTTTATATTATACAATTATTTATTATCAGAACACTGATGCAAGCTCTTAAGCCCTAAACTGACTTCTCAAAAGTTTTGGGACACAATAGATCAAAAGTACATCTCATAAATGTATCATTATAATCCTGCAATAGAAAAGAAGAGTGTGTGGGTGAGAAACTCCCTCTGGAGGGAACTTTGGAATTTTAGCCTCTGCAGACCATTTACATGCACACAAACCTATATAACAGGAAAGTGAAAACCCCAAAAAGCATAATAGGGGCTCTTTAATGACTATGAGACTTGCATGTGTCTTTCTTTTCACCCAATCGGATCTTGCGATGGGTTGTTCATTAGCAGGAAATGTTTGTCACTCCGAAGCAGCTTGACTGTGGCAGCACACCTAAGTCAGTTTTCATTTGGTGAAACAAGATCGATGTGCAGCACGTTACGAAGTCATCGGAGGGCATGGTGTTTGAAGTGGTCTCCTTGAGGGCTGCTAATTGATTTTAGATTTACTGGTGTTTCCCAGCGAGAAACTCTGAAGCCCTCTCCTGTGAATGTGTAGAAAAGTCTGGGATTTTTGCAGCCAATATGTTGAACATTTCTCATGCAGTTAAATGTAATTTGTTGATTTATATTCCACCCCCCCCGCACTGTGTCAAGCTGAAGCATTACCGAGAGCACTCCCACGGTGAGTTCATTATCACCCCCTCCTAATTGGGTTAAAGAAGTTAATGTGTGGTAGGTCTGGCAGAGATGGGTGTTCAAAGGGCGCTGCAGCACGCCCTCCGAGCACTTCTCCAGTCTCCACAAAACTTTGATGTAGACTAATGATCAGGAGGCAGATCCATGGCATGGATTATTTATTTTCTGACTGATTTACAACACACAAAAGCTAAATGCACAGGACTCCCTTCCTCTCCTCCACAGGTTTTCTGAGAGATATATTTTGCTTCCACAAACAAATAAAAGTGAAGCAACGACTCAAAAAAAGGAAAAGGAAACTTATCACAGCTGTTGAGCAAAGATAAGTCCTAATATTTAAGCTTCCCCCTCAGCAGCTAACATCTAAACATGGGGATTGGCGGGGGGGGTTGTTTGCTAGTCAAGAGGAGTGCCTAAATGTGTCGGTTATTAGCTTGGCTGTAGATGGTTGCTTCTGGGGTCGCAGGGAGAGCTGGTGGACAGGTTCCCAACACTGTCCAACTGCCCCCCCACACACACACACACACACACACACACACACACACACACACATGCAAAAGCACACACACACACTGTCTTGGTGTCCCTATGGGACAGACTGCCAGCTTGCTTCCAGCACTTTGGCAAAGGGGTCCATTTTTTTTCTCCATGGCAGCTGCTGCATCCAGAGGCTTGATAGGCTATTAATACCCGGGCTAATTTTACCAATCCATTCACATTTACCGATTTCCACTTGTCAGCGTGTTGATTAAGAGGCACATGGCCATCAGCAGGGTTTGACTTAATACGAGGAACAAGGGGACAACTGGGCTAATGACACACTTGCAGTCCGGAAAGAAAACGGGACATATTTTGTCATGGCTTCACACAGTCCAACACATTTTGTCCGCTACAGTCATGCTTTAACTCATTTCGCCGTTATTTCATATGCTTTTAGAAAATAAAAATGTGTACGAGAAATGATGTTGCGCGAAAGAAAATCCTTTACTTTTTAATTTAAATGTTATTTTCTTTTAACAAAGTTTAGCCTTTTGATGACCTGCCATTGACTTGCTTTATATATTAAATATATATCAGCTGAGTGCACTGCAGACAGAGTGCAGGTTTACCTCAACGTAGACCATCAAGGCACTCATTGTTAAACAAATATTCCTTTTCGAGTCTAATTTGTTCTTAATTAATTGTTGCAACAAAGCAAAAATATAGGCCGACGGCTCTGACGTAGCTTATTATGTGTCTATAAGCATCAGGACAATGATTCTGTCTCCTGTTCTTCACTGCCTCATGCCTCCTCTTTGTAACGTAGCTGCGCTGCTCCCCTGGGCCTGCAGGTGGTGCAACAGTATAGGCTGTAACTGCTGCTTCATGAGGATTAAATGACTGTTAGCAAAACACAGAAAATGGTTCTTAACAGCTGGAGTTGCTGGGAAAAATTCAAATCTGTTGTAGGAGACCACTTCAAAGTAGGATAATGGGTAGGTAACAGAGACCTATATAGGTGCGTTATAAGCAAGGGGTGCCTGTGGACTATTCAGGGATATTTAATAATAGTGCATCTCAATATGCTTTTAGAGAAAGGGCCCTCTCTCTGCTCTCATGCTCCCTTTTTCCTGCTCAGGTCGTCAGTCTGTCTGCAGCCCACCGGCTCCTCCACGTTCAGCCTCACTAAACTGATCTGCCGTGATTTGCCGCTGGTTATGCATCAGTGCTGCAGTCTCATCTCCCATTCCCCCCCCCCCCTACAATACTGCACGGTGGAATAATGAACCCCGCTTGAGTCTGTCTGTCTCTGTGTGTGCGCGCGCCCGTCCATGTTTCCATGATTGCTGCATTTGACAACAGAGCCACAGGGAGCTCTGCACAGCATACTGCGGACCAGGTTTAATTTCCTCCGTCAGATGGAGCGATAGTTAGAACAAATGTACTGTAGCAGGGAACCCCCCCTCCCCCACCCCCCCCACCATCCACTTTCAGCGCCATTGTTGGTGCAGGTGTTGTGCAGAATCTGTTGTATATTCTGCTGTTTGCACACGCAGGTGACACCCCGGATTAATTGTTGCCCCTTGCAATCTTTCAGGAAATTGACGAAGCCTGCAAGCGGATCAAGAGGGAGGTGGACGACCTGGGGCCTGAAGTCGGGGACATCAAGATCATCCCGCTGTACTCCACCCTGCCCCCGGCGCAGCAGCAGAGGATCTTTGAGCCACCCCCACCCACCAAACCAAGCGGTGCCATCGGAAGGAAGGTATGACTGCCTCGTTGCTATTAAAAACAGGGGGAGGCTGAGTGAAAGAGCAAATGAGTGGCGTTGATGTAGAAAGGCCAGATGGGAAATAAGGTGGAAGAGAGCTGGAAGGGAGGGACTGAAACTTTTTTTTTTTTTCCCTTCCTCAGCTTTAGCGCAGAACTGACTCACACAACATATGCTGCTTTTGTCAGCATGCGATTCTCGGCTCTAAATTATAGCCGGGGTATTACTCACGCCCTCTGAGCCTGAGGAAAGTACTGCATCCTCAGTCATTTTTATCTTCTCACTACATTTGCACAGACAGAGAAAGAGAGAGGGAGGCCTCTGCCATACGAAGCCGCGTGCAAGCTGACAAAAACAAGACTCCTCCTGCTGTGCATAGTCTTCTTCCTCAATCACTTAAGTGGATGATCTTGTTATTGATACAGACGCCAGACAATTCCTCTCTTTTCGCGCGACAGTTTGTATTTAGATGGGCTCATCACTGGAGGAGCGGCACCACCTGCGCTGCCAGTGTTGGCCCGGCATCTGACGGAATATCAGAATATCATCACTGCCAGTGAATGAGCAAACGTTCACCCCAGCATCTGATAGGGGGACGCCGCTGATGAATGACTCATTGCTACAAACCCCTCTAATTGAGGCAGATCAGGCTGACATATGAGCCGCCAAACTGTTTATGTGCTGTCAAAGATAAACACAGAACGTTCAAATGAACCTAGGGTTTAGGGGAACATAGGATTCCCTGCAATGTGTGTGAACAGAGGATTAATCGCACATAAAAAACCATGCCATGAAATAAGAAGCAGGTGATGAAGGGTTTTTAACAAACTTGTCAAATTGAGACTTTTACACAAGTTCAGGTATTGGAAACAGTATTCGTTTTAGATAGGGGTGTAACAATTTATCTATTCAATGATCCAATATCATCAACGTATTAGATCTTTATTTGCCTTTTATTTAGAAATTCCCATGGCTTTGTCTTTGTCTTGCTCAGCTCATCTCCTAAAGAGCCCAGTAATAAGATTGTAATATTATTTTAAAAAATAAATATTAAATTGATGTCAAATGGGTATATGACATTTTCCGTTTCGATGGCAGGCCCCTGAAATGAATGGAGCTATCGTGACAGATTTGATGACCTCAGAAAATATTGTCTTGTTTTCCAAAGATTTGATGGAACAGGAGATGAAAGTAGTGATATACACTCCAAGTAATGAGACATCTTTATACATCAGTCTGACGTGATGAATGATTTTGAGTTTGTCTTCCCTCCCGCTGGTGAACATCTTGCTGCAACTTCTCCTGGTTCCCCTTTAGTGAAGTGAATTCAGGAAGTAAAGTGAGTGCAGTGACAGCGTGACCTCTGACCTGTCCAAGCAGTTTGTCAGGTGCTTGTTGAATCGGTGGTATCTGAAGTAAATGTGCTTCTCCTCCAACACTGACTGAGCAGCTCATCAGTCGATAAATGCAGAGATGTCATCCAAGCCAGCCCAAGAGGAAGTAGTGAAAAAGAATGAAGGTTTGCTACGTCTGCTGCTACGCATGCTAACGACTGCATTAGACTCCCCTCAATTAACATAAAGCACCAGCTCGTCACCGCTCTATTTCTCCAGGAAAGCCACTGATCTTCTATTTTTGAACAGTTTAATCATTAAGAGCCAAGGCGGCAATTGACTAATTACAAACAAAGACTATAATCTCACGTTGCTCTCCAGCCTCTCAAAGATCGTCTCTACCAAACGTGCTGTGATGGGTTTGTTTTTAGCATCGTCACGTTTGGAATATTCCCTCAAATGTCACTCGTGATTCTGCCACATACGCATTTCGATGAGCTTTGAATAGGATGCCGCTCGGGGCACGTTCTCCTTTCCCCCCCCAGTCGGAGTAGGGCTTTATTTGTCAACACGGCTGTGTTTCCCAGCAGGGAACGAGAAAGATGGCCGTGTTAGCCATAGTACTTGCTCTCCTGCAGGTAATAACCCAGAAATAACATGCAGAGACGACGCCCTAATGATATTACTGATGAAGAAGCTAGGATTATCCAGTGCAGCAACAGACTGGAAGGAGCCGGCCTGCGTTCAGTGTAATGGCCCCAGCCCGGATAATCCTTCAGAATCAATGCAGTCAATGAGGCCACCCATATGATCATGAAATGTGAGAGGGTGTCATGTGTGGCATCTGCTGGAGCACCGTGGGGTCCCAACACGCAGGACAACCTCAGCGAGTCCATTATTAACCGGACTTTGAAGAATTCCAAGTCCTTCAAGGCTTGCTGGGACGTCGGTCGCTGGCATATAGTTCCTGTCATGAGACACTGCTCTCTCTTTTAATTTCAGACAGTGTGGCTAATAGGTTTCATAAAGATTTAACTCCTCTGTATCCGTAGGCCACAGATGGCCCTTTTCCACTGCGGAAACTTAACCCGTTACCTGGCCTTGCATTCAACTCCATATTTAGGATTATGTGAGTCTTTGGTATAGGGCTGTGCAATTAATCGTATTTTAATCTCGATTTTGGCTTGCAACGATTGTGAAAACAACGTAATCGGGAAAAAAAAACGATTATTTTGCTGCATTCCCTTTCGCAATGATGCTCTCAATTTGGCTTGCGTTATACATCCTGCCCGCGCGTGCGCTGTCGCCCCTCCCTAAAAGCCGTCTCAGCCAGGTTGTGTTGTGACTTGCAGTCTGTTTAATAAATCCATATAAACACGTTACAACGGAAGCTTTAGTTGCCGTGTCTTTACTCTCCGGTCAGCTCTAGCCTACAGTCAACTTTCACTAACCTCGTCAAGCCGGAGCCTCTTGGCTACTTCCTGTTTCTGGATAAAGGGTTACCAAAATAAGAGCACTGCGTGTAGCAGTATAATTAAACATTACAGGTTGTGAGTGACATTAATTATCATATTTATATACGTTTAGTAGGTTGTGGAAGTGCGCTCCAAAATATTTGTTTATCTTCTTTATTGGTATTTATTATTTTGATATTATTTATTTAAATGTAGATATAAATGTATCATTTTATTTTTGTATTGGTTTTTCAGTTGAATTATACTTAAAGTTCAGGGTATTCAACTGTTAAAAACGTACTGTTCAAATTAATATTTAAATTTGTTTTAAATAAATGGATGTTTTCAAAGTCAATGAATAATCGTATTTAATAATCGTGATATCAATATTGACCAGAAATAATCGTGATTATGATTTTTGCCATAATCTCACAGCCCTACTTTGGTACTAGAATTCTCACTGTCTTACCAATATATCCCCCTGTTTCTCTCTCTCTCAAACCCTGATGTTTTCCTTGTTAACTTTAACTCCATTAAGCAGGTTACTCGCGTCTACATTTGCGTAGGTTGGGAAAATAATAGCTGCTGTTGAGTGTAGTCCTGATACGCTGCCCAACATATTCTTTTGTCATCACAACACATTTTGACGTATTATTTTAAAGTTAAAAAACCCTCAATGTGTTTTTGAATGGCGTAGGTGCCTTCTTGTCATTGTCTTAGTCATTGAGAAAAAGTTAACTGAAGAAAGTGTTTAAGAGTAAAAGTACTGAAAGTAGTAAAGTGCAGTGTAATGAAAAGGTATATAAATATGATAGATATAAACAAGCTAAAGTATATGCAGTGTGAACTGAACATATGGCTATGAACATTAGTATAACACTGCTGGTAGAAATAAAGACACTATATTTGCAGACACTATAGACGGAATAAATATGAATACACTTTACCGTTAACCAAGCCACATTTATCATGGTGTGCTCGTGTCAATCAGACCTAGACAGCCATTCATCCAAGAACAACAGCCAACCATCATCCAGATACTGCTGTCTGATGAGCTTCATGCAGCGTTTATTGCCATCCCTTTATTTCTCTGCTTGAATACTAAGGGGAGTGGGTCTTTCGACAGGTGAATTACCCGAGGTCAATGGCTGGATGGATGGATGGGGGGGGGGGGTTTAAATGCCCTCACTGGCATTAATAACTAAACAGTCAGGCATTCTCAGGCGTGAGAGAAATCCTCGCTTAAAAGGTGGGATTTAAAAAACGTCTGTATGGCTCACAGCTAGAAGACAGCTGAAGAGGCACAGCTACAAAGGAAGTGTGTCAAGTGTGCAAAATTGGTTCTGTGGACCTGTATCAGCAACGACTACAGAGAACCGTTTGGTTTTGTGCATTTCATCGTGAGGACTACCAAGGACGGCTTCCACCAAACGACTGCTCGGGTCAGCCTGCTGCTCGTTCCTGCCTGGGTGGATGTTGAGCAAAAGGAAATATATCAAAGTGCGGGAAGGCATTTTTCCAAACACCCACTCGCATATTAAGCGCTGACAGAGGAGTGGCAGTTGCCAGTCGAGTGGGCTATGATCAGGTCACCACAGCCTGTGATATTACGATGAGTGTAAAGGGCTCCTCTGTCCACTCTGTGTCAGCTGTTATGTAAGGGGGGGGGGGCTCACCCTAGCGGCGGCCATAGTTTGCGTGAGAGCAGCTGCAGATCTGTCTCCCTCTCCTTCTCCCGCTGGTTGTGTATAAGCTGACAGCTAGAGACCCACAGGGTGATTTGAGTCATTTGATTTTCTCCGCTAAGATTCAGCTGTCAGACAGCCCTGCTTTGGGGATCATTGTTAAAGAAAATGATCCGGAGATGGTGCAGGTTCACAGTTTACCCATTATTCTTAGAAATCTAGCATCTTTCTACGTCCAAGATCAATTTCAGTTTTCCACAAATAGTTTCTGCTCTACTACAGAACTACTATTTCAAAAAATGCAATGATTTTTGTAAACGTTTCAAGCTAAAAGCAATAATCACTAAAGCCCTCTCTCCATGAATACTTTGATAGCACATTGGACATGATTGCAGAAACTGTTGCAGTACCCCACTGTTGGGTTGCATTAGCGTTAGCATTAGCGTGTGCAGTGCGCTGTAGTGGCATCTCTACAAGCTTCTTTAGCCAACTGGATCACATCAGGGAATATTGTTCAAGTTAAAGCAACGCTGATATGTGAACTTTCTTGTGTTTCTCTCTCCTCTTACTCATGCTTAATAAGGGCTATCAATTACGAACTGCTCCAATTTGGGATTATACAAAGTACTTTTTAACTTATTTATCGAAGTTGTTGCGTTCTCTGTGTTTTTACTTGCACGTTGGAATGGATTTCCTAAACGCAAAAGATGTCGATAAATGTGTTTTTAAAACGAGGTCTAGTGCTAGAATTTGAGGTCTTTCAGTCCCTCCACAGAGCGTGCAGATCATTTCCTAACCCATCTGTTCTCCTTTCCACAGGTCGTGGTGTCCACAAACATCGCCGAGACGTCCCTGACCATCGACGGCGTGGTGTTTGTAATTGATCCTGGATTTGCCAAGCAAAAGGTTAGCTTCCCCCCCCAACCTTCTCCCACCACTCTCTATCTGCCGCGATCATCTGCGTCTGTTGCCTGAGAATCCCCAGATAAACACCGCCGTGCACAACCTGACAGCGGCAGAGATGGAAAAGCCGGCTATTTATTCCTCTGACATTTCCCCAGCCTGGAGCCAAGTCATACACATGGCTCAGAAACAGATTATATATGCATTACGGTGGCTTTTGTGTATGTGTTTTGCTTTTATATACAGTAGATCGAAGGTGTGAGTGTATGCTTGACCACTTTTTTTCACCACCCACAAAATCAATGTGTTTTTTTTTTTTGGCTGAAGTTAACTTCCCTCTTCCCCCTCAGGTATATAACCCCCGTATCAGAGTGGAGTCCCTTTTGGTGACAGCCATCAGTAAGGCGTCGGCCCAGCAGAGGGCGGGCCGTGCCGGACGTACATGCCCAGGAAAGTGTTTCCGCCTTTACACAGAGAAAGCTTACAAGACAGAAATGCAGGTAAGAAACGAAGCGGTCTGGAAATGGTTATAAATTCTATGAGGTGTTTGATTTTCACAAGCACTTTGTATTCCCTCAAAGCAGCCCCGGAGCTGGAGAAGCTCCCTATTATGCAATATTTGCTCTTGGAATCCATGATTCCAAGTTAAGCTGAATTTAAATTCCAAGAGCTTGCTGCTAAACCACACTACCCTCCACCCTTCTACATAACATGTGCTAACGAAACAGCCACCTCGTGACAAATGAACCCAGGGAGGCCCGGTTCTCCACTTTAACAGGCTCATCCTTTCACGTCACGCTAAGCGACAAAGGGGATTTTTTAAGCGAGTTAGATAGCCCTTCAAATGCCCTCAACTCCCGGTCCCTGTTGAAGTTGACACATGAGCGACGCATGAGGAGATAATTCGCAGCCTGACTAATTAATTCTGAATTGTTCGCTGGGTTTGTCTCGTTCCTCTCCACTGCTGCAGGACAACACGTATCCAGAGATCCTGAGGTCTAACCTGGGCTCTGTGGTGCTGCAGCTGAAGAAACTGGGGATCGACGACCTGGTGCACTTTGACTTCATGGACCCTCCAGGTTAGTGTCAATAAAATACTCGATACACATTTGTTTTGCCTTTTTTATAAAGATTTATTTGTGTCGTTTTGCTTTGCATTCAGTCCCAAACTGACCCATTGCATTGTAAGAAATCTTTTTAAATACTTTTAAAGTTATAATTCTTTACAATTTATATATATTTTTGTGAGAATAAATACAACGGTAATGCCAAATAACTACTATCGGACACATCTCTAGCATTGTACTGAATATATCATCATGTTGCCCAACATTCATTGCAGAGAAAACACCATTCCATGCAATGTAGGCCTATTATTTATTCATACTATTTATTCATCACTATATATTTACAAGAATGTAAAGGCGTGGGTGTTATATTAACTGCCTAGGCGACACCTCCTGATGGAGGAGAGAGACAGACGCTTACTGCAGGAACTCAGAGCAGCTCTTTGAGTAAATTACAATCCAGCGCGTTTGCATTCATTTTTTGCGTTTTCTCTGATGGTCTGAATATGTTTATGTCGCAAGCCGCTTTTTAGAAATCAAGTTACTGCGAGGTTCTAAAAGAGGTTAAATCTACCTGTTGCTCCTCTCTTGTATTTCCGAGCATGTAATAGCTAAACTAGTGTATTCTGTAGTTTCACATAGCTCCTGCTGCTCTTACCGGTAACCAAATCCAACCATGAGTTTAACATCAAATAATATTTAGATCTTGATTTTCATCAGTCCTTTATGAATCAATACAAGTGCAGTTAAATCGACTTTAAGCTGAGCTGTGGATGCTTCATGTACAATATCAAATCTGAGATTGCTGTGTCACTTAGGGAACCTTTGGAATGTTTGGAGTGCTCTGACAGACACAGTTTTTACGAGCTTAAAATTCATATTATTGCTGTTTTTAAATTGATAATATTCTGGATTAGCGCTTTTTCCGTGTTTCTTGCACATCTTCATCATGCTGCATCCAGGCCAAAAAACACACCTCATCTCATTGAGCCAAGTTATGGCATCCTCCAGGAGTGTGTGTGTTCCCGCGGAGACCACCCCTCCTTTCCCTATCCTTAACCTCCCCCTCCCTCCCCCCTTTTCTCACCATAATATAGTTTTCATCTCACCTCTGAGATTAAACCCATCTCTCCCCGTCCACCGTGGCAAACGCCATTTTGAGAATGAAATTGGTTACATCAATAGCAGCGCTATCACCTTGGCTATTGCCTTCCCTTTATATTCCTCCAGTGAAACGTGACTGACCTCCACCACCACCCCCACATTTCTCACAAAATACAAGGGTAAGCGTCAACATACGGGATTGGCCTTGTGTGCTGCGTCTAACTGGGAACGCTGGGGTGAAGGGAAAGGGGAGGATTACCTTTTTATTTATTTGATCCACTCATGGCAGAAGATTTCTCTTAACTAGCTGTGGAGCACGCTGGAAGCTGCAGCGATTACCTGGACAGGAGATTTGTAACATCTTAGGAACAGCGGGTGAATTATAATGCACATTTCAGAGAATATAGACAGGTCAGCGCAGGGTGTCTGGAGACATACAGGGTGAAAAAACAGCATGACACAACTTTTGATGGTTGAACTGCTACGTTAATCCGTTTTTGGCATGGATCGAATCCATAACCAGGGTGTCCGCGGGGTCTTAAAAAGTATTAAAAGTTGATAAATCAATTTAGCGAAAATGAAGGCTATTAAAAAGTATTAAAAATGCGCCGTAAAATGCTGCTTCTTATTTTAAGTTTCGTTGCCTTGCTCCGCTCTGTGGGGGGGGGGAAAGAGTGTGTCGGGGCGACACTGATGGTGATGAAAGCTGGTTCAAGGGACCCCCACAGACTCTAGAATCGCCACTGTCGATGGGGGTCAAAGCTGTCCGGTCCCACATGCTACGTAATAGCCAGAAAGCTGCGGCGTTTAAGTCCTGACTCTCCCGATGACCAATCCGTGCCTCCCCTGACTGCACGTCGCTGACACTCACCGCTGCAGTGCAGACTCTCTGCACGGAGGAGCCGCGGAGGAACAGCGGAGTCCGGGCGATGCTGCTCCTCCAAGGAAGAGACACACGTTCACTAAGCCGAACTATATCCGGTCACAGAGATCTGCTATTTTAAAGTAAAGTCAACACATATCAACCCTAAATGTAGTCTATATTAAGAACGGGAAAAGTCTTAACATATATATCGTTTTTTGTAAACATATGACAAATGTGCGAGGGTGATTACGTCAGAACATCGTCCTATGTGCCGGGGCTTAGCCCTGGACACCCCCGGCCCAATTTAACCCCTGGTTAAGGAGGGAGCTCCTATATGGCATTACCCCGCTGCTGAAGCTCACCAAAGTTGAATATATTTTAGTTATATAAGTTTTGTCAATTGTTTTGTTTATTGGTCAAACATTGGTTTCTGATGAGTTTTACTGGAATGAAAGAGCACAAAGTGTGTCTACAGAAGCAACAAAGCAGCATACTGCATTAAACCTGACCTTGACAGAGAGGTTGAAGTTCATGTGGAAAGGAGGCTTCAGTAGTCTGTCTGTTCTATCTCTTGGGAACAATGCCTAAATCAAATACTACTTTCTAATGGTTTCTTTTTCTAATAAACCTTGCATTGGGTTGGTCACACAATTCATTCTCTTGTGCTTTGTTTTATCTGAATTATGATAAGGAGTTATCACAAACTGTTTAGTTGTGCTATCTTACAATCAATACTGTATATAGTAAATGTGAGGTAAAGTGTGTTGCCAATGTAACCGGTTAGAACTCGAAGTGGCGATGAGGTCTTAAAATGTATTAAAAGGTATTCCATTTGACTTCAGGATTCCTGCATGTACTGTTAAAGTGTGGATAAGTGGACATTTTTGTAATCGTCCCTGTCAAAAATACCCAAAACCTGCCTTCAGATGATTTTGATGTCTCCTTGATGATCAACCACAAACCGTTTTCCACTTCAGCTTGTCCGTGAGCTAAACGGTAACATTCAATTTGACCCTTTTTGGAAAGCTCGAACACATAGGTCAATTCTCTCTTTGCCCACCCCGCTCCTCGCTTACTAACCTCAGGAGCCAGCCAACCAAATGGAAATCCAAAATAAATCAGTAGTGATTTACACAAGGACTTGGACTGGGTGGGATTCATTTGCCTCGTGACATTTCCAAAGAAGTACCCCCTGGCAGCCGTTGTGGTTTAATGTACCTTTAGCCTTTCGTGTCATTGATTTGGCCCTTGGTTAATATATCGGATTCTTGTGTGTCCAGGCAGTCGATACTTACTTTCTGATGAGCCGCTTTGTGTATATTGAGTTTCCACACCGGTTCATCGTGCTAGCAGTACTTGGAAATCAGAGTTTCACCTTTTGCACAGCCCCACACAAGCGCTTGGTGTGGTAAGTAAATTGGCCGGCACTCAATTGTGTAAAAAAGTAGCTTTGATGCCCCGAATCAATATTTGTTAATCATAAAAAAAAAAATGCCTCCCGACAGTTTGAAATTGAATTTATTTTTTGGGGTGCACTTGAGAGGAATGAAAGTGAACGAGCAGCGCAGCCGCAGCTTGAAGCTAATTTTCAGTTAACATGCAACTGGTCATTAGGCTCCGGCTCTCGGGAGCCAAAGGTCAATAATTGCATCTGGAGGAAAAATCTTTTAACCAAACGGTGGAAGCCTTTTTGTGTTGAAGCATTAAGTAGAAAGTTCCCCTGTAATTGCATTAGTTGTTTAGGATTGCCTGAGCGGAGGATGAAAAATGAGCTCTGCCATGATTACTTCTGCGCTAAGTTGCTGTCTAGCGTAACAGTGGTCACACACAGGGAGTTTCTCATGTTGATTGGCTTTACGCTCCTTTTGTTTGAAGGTCTGTCTTTCTTAACACACATCTGTCTTCTGTTAAAGGTCTGAGGGGAGCCGGTGCTGAGTATCAGCTTTTTAACTTTGGACTAAATTCAACATTATTGTCATTGCACTGAGACAACAAAATGCAGTTAGCATCTGACCAGAAGTGCAAAAGGAGCAAGTGCACTGTAATATAGAAGTGTATATAACTTTACAAATATAAAAAAAGCCAAAGTGTATATACAGTGTCCTATCCTAATCCTAAACAACTATAGACAAGGCAACTATAGTCAATAAATATGAAACTCTATAAATCAGTATTGACACTTTTCTTAATAATAACAAGTGGGACTACGCAATAGAAGATATAACTAGTTTTCAATCAATGTTTTTGCTCAGGTTACAGTTCTTCTCATTAAATAAGTTTATATCATACCAGCTGATCAAAAATGTCCCTGTATATTCCTTGGCTAAAATGTAATAAATGGCAATTATTAAATTTTTTGTTTTTGCCCTGAATTTGGTCCCACCATTTGGAGAATGATGTTGTAACACTTAGTCGCTTGAATGTGAAAATGTTCACATCTCAAACTCTCTTTTCCATAGAGTACTCATGCCACTGTTAAAAAAAAAAAAAGGTAGTTTCTTCAGACTCTTTATTATTTATAAAAGCTTCCATCAGCCAAGTTTGAACATAAATGCTTAACTAAGTGCTGCAGACTTGTTTTGGTTTAACGTTGAATGCCAGTACACAAGTGTTTTAAGTTAGACTAATGAGATGCAAAAACCTAAATAGTGCTGCAACTTCTATTAACACTTTCTAATTGTCTATTATAATAAACCCAAGGTGACTTCTTGAGACGTCTCGTTTTATCTAACTCAAAGACATTCAGTGAATCATGAGCATTAATCACTCCTGACATCCTTGTGTTTGCTCCAAATTGTTCTTCTCGACTTCTGCTGTGATGAAGACATTTTGGAAATCGTTCCGCGGCTGTCGTCTGTGTGTGTGTTTTGCCTCGGAGCATTATTTACCGGCCCATCTCCCCCCCCTATCCTGCCTCCCCTCAGCTCCAGAGACCCTGATGCGTGCCCTGGAGCTGCTGAACTATCTGGCGGCGCTGAATGACGACGGTGACCTGACAGAGCTGGGCTCCATGATGGCCGAGTTCCCCCTGGACCCCCAGCTGGCCAAGATGGTGATCGCCAGCTGTGAATACAACTGCTCCAACGAGATCCTCTCCATCACCGCCATGTTGTCAGGTAACGCTCAGTGCTCACGGACCAATGAGCGCACAGGACATATACATAGCACATCTAGATAATTCAACTTCTGTACAGACAAGGAAGAAAAGGAAGTTAGTTGAAGCGGGAGAGCAGGAAGCTAAACAAGCTCCAAAACTACATAATACCTTGAAAACCTTTTTTTTACCATCGTTAACTAAGATGTAATGAATCTTATGGCAATAGTCACGTTTTTGCATTAACTTGTTTTGCAGGCGACAAGTTGTTTACTGCCACTTTAACCTGTGTAAACAATGGATGTTCAAATATTAGACCCCAGAAGTGGGAAAGTGAAATCTGAACTTAACTAAGAGGCAAGTAGGGGAAAGTGGTGTCAGCTTTTACTTGTGAAGAAGGTGGAAATACATGTCCGTACAAAATGTATAGGTGTAGCTGGAGCATGCTGCCGCAGTAATTGCACTTTAGGCTTGCCAAAGCAGAATGCTGCTCATTGAGATGAATCTTGACGCCTTTGAAGGGAGTGCGAGGGTCTTTGAGAGCGGGGAAATGGATTTAACTAGCTGTTTTTGGACGTGGTGTGCACTTAAAGCAGGTGTTTCGTGGCGGCAGCTTTTTGTGCTGAGTTAATTAGAAGTGAGCCGCCAAAGTACACCTGAGAATGTTGCCGCCACAGCAGCCAACCACTAGGCTCAATAAAAACAGTTTCACCCGTTAAAGACACAGTGGAGCACGGTTGACATTAAGCAATGCGGAGCGAGTTCACACAGGGGAGCCCGCAGTCCTCTGGATGAACTCACCTCTCATTTATTTACTTCAGTAATGTAATCTATAAAATGGTAATGCTATTTACTTTGAACCTCCATTGATAAGCGGTCCATTGACAGTGGTGCTGCGATGTGAAACAGTGCTAGCAAACCAAACGGCAAAGAATCAAAGTAACAATGTTTGTAAAAAAAATAAGTACAAGATAATATGGAGCGGAAAATAGAAATATAAACACAGTTGAGTATAAAAAAGAATAAATAAATAAACTTTAAGTGTGGCTTAAGGAGGTATTTACTGTCTTCTCCTGTCCAGTGATTTAAAAAAGAAAAGCAGTGCAGTGAATAAAGCAGTTAGACGGTAGAAATCTGTGTTTTTCTGATCAGCTAACATTTACTCAGCTTTTCTCTCTGGCAACTTGTATCCAGGTGTCATTAAAAAAGATGTATGCTAAAAATGTGGCTTAAAACTCAATACAAAGTCAATTTATGACAGACAACGCTAAAGTTGAAGGGGATACAATGCCATCACAGGAGACCAGAGGATTACAATTAAACATTTCTCTGAAACATTTGGGATAATAAAAGTACACAATTTAACTAAATGATGAAATAGTTTTTTAATCAAATCAGTTTTTATTTATACTTCCCGATAAACTCACAAAACCGTTTTGTTTCTCAGAGGCTTTACAGATCAACAAACATGAATAAAGACAATCAAACTGACAAAATGGTAGTGTGAAGGTCAATTACAAATAAAATATAAAAGCCAGGAGGATGTTCAAGGCTAAATATAAGCTTTAATAAAAAGACTTTAATGTGGAGAGGATGTCATGACATTTTCCCGCCACAATATAACACCATCTTCTTTTAAAGCCTTTTGCACATTATCCCATGTTTAAAGTGTATTTCAGTGCAGTGCATCAGGGCGGAGACCCCCACCCTTCCCTCCTGTTTGCCCCCCCCGCTCCTCTCCACTCTTCTCAGTGCAGTCTCTGCCTCTGTAGCCGAGGCCGTGTTCCTCTCTGTGGGATCAGCTTAACTTATCCCTCCGGGCGGCTGTGTTGGGGCCTGTACCAACCTTGTTTAGTCCCACAGTGCTTCGTCCGACCCACGGAGGCTAGAAAGATGGCCGACGAGTCCAAGATGCGCTTCGCCCACATCGACGGAGACCACATGACGCTGCTCAACGTGTACCACGCCTTCAAACAGAGTGAGTGGCCTCTCCTGCACACTGGGTTTATAGAGCTGAAGCCAACAGATGAATCTTAAGAGCGTCATGTTGACTTTCAGATTTTAATGACCATTTTAAATGTTTAATGATTGTATTTAAAGGCGTTATTTGTGCACAGTAGATACATATTATACTACACAAATAGTATTATAATTTTTGTAGAATAAGATTCCATAGATGGCCGATAAATCACATTATTCAAATTTCAGGATTTTATTTGACGACAGACAATTAAAGCTTCATTTGTATTTATTTTTTTCTAATTTAATATTGATAGAATACAGTCAAGGTACAATAAAACAAAGTTAGATGAAGCAGAAGGAGAGTTCATATTTACATATTTTTTGGTCAAAGACCCCAAATCTTGGCAAAATAACTAAAAGCTTTATGATAAATAAGTTTCAAAACGTATGATAACAAATAAAACAATTATTTAAATTCTCAGGGTAAGAATTTAATGAAGTCATGTACATGGGCTAAAATCAAAATTCAATACCAGAAGAAAAAAAAAAAAATACAAGCACATATACAGATCACAACACAATTGACTATAACTAAATACTATATATATATTTTTAAAATATGAACTAAAAGTCTGTTTCATTATTTTCCTTTCATTCATTTGAAAACTCCAACTGAAACTTTGAAAGTTAAAATGAAAAAAAGCCCTTTGGTCCAGCTTCAGTAAACATTTGAATATTAACATGATCTCTCTCTTAATCCCCCGTGTCTCTCAGACAGCGACTCCAACCAGTGGTGCTACGAGAACTTCGTGAACTACCGCTCGCTGATGTCGGCGGACAACGTGCGGCAGCAGCTGGCGCGGATCATGGACCGCTTCAGCCTGCCGCGGCGCAGCACCGAGTTCACCCACAGAGACTACTACACCAACATCCGCCGCGCACTCATCACCGGCTTCTTCATGCAGGTCAGACGCAGCAGGGGCTTCTGGGAGAGCGTCGCCTTTGAACAATGATAAGACATATTTTCGACATGTGACAAACATGGAGGATGCTTTAGAAAAGGGACCCAGACACTAGAGAACATATGTTACTCATACATCTAGAGCTGGAGAGAATGTATATGCTATAGAGAAACATTACAAGTTAAAAAAACAACCCAAATACCCAAAAAATGTAAGTAGTCCAACCTTAATATTTTGGGTTTATTTGATTCTTTAGTCCTATGTTTGCAACTTTATAACCGTAGCTATTCAGTCTCCCTTCTTATTTGTTTGCTAATTTGACAGAGAGCTGTTTATGTGCAAAAAACACACTACTGAGAATGCAGGCGAGATAATGACTGCCACACACGCACACACATTTACACACACAAGCATACACACTGCTGCTTTGTTTTTAACACATACAAGGAAATCACGTCAATTTGCTCCTCGCTCAAGGAAACAAATGGCATTTGCAATGAGCCATTTCCAGGGCTACCTGAAACAAGCAACCGGACCAGCTGAATTATGGCGTTAATATTTAAATATTTGTCAACATTAACCTTTATCGTGTTGACAAATTCGCGGCTCATGTTGGAGCTCTCGCAGCATTTGGGAGATCATGTCTTTGTTGGGAAAGGTCTTTATTGAGACTGATTGCTTTGGTTAATCACAACAGCCTCTGCAAACTGAGGAAACTCGCTCACAAGTTGTTCTCCAGAGCTCTGCAGATTTTTAATGCATGCGTGTAGTTGAGTAACAGCCAGCGATAAAGATCATGTGTGTGTGTCTGTGTTGGCCGCTGACCCCTCCTCTCTGTGCTGAGAACAGGTGGCTCACCTGGAGCGCACCGGACACTACCTGACGGTGAAGGACAACCAGGTGGTGCAGCTGCACCCGTCCACCGTGCTGGACCACAAGCCGGAGTGGGTGCTCTACAACGAGTTCGTGCTCACCTCCAAGAACTACATCCGCACGTGCACCGACGTCAAACCAGAGTGGTGGGTTTAATATATGTTCTAAAGATATCAGAAAGGAATGTTACATTTGAATGTTTGTTAAATAATGTTACATTAACTTAGAAAAGATGGAGGTGGATGGAATATTTATCTTTTGCAGGAATTAAAATTGTTTTTATTTAATTATAGAAGAGAAAATAACATTGTATAAATATTATATATGGTTTATATTTTTTTAATTACTTTTTACTTATCTTAATTTGTCCATACATGTACTTAGTTTAAAATACAAATGCGTTGTTAAATACAGTATAATGAAAAAAAAGACAAACAATCATGACTTATGGTATGCTTTGAATCACAGTTTATTTGTTTTTACCTTAGGGAAAAGAAAATATAACATTTTAATTTAATTTTTGTAGTTTGTCCAATATATATTTTTGTATTCACTTGATCACTGGATAGCTTGAATGCAGCACTTCCTGTGTGAAATTAGCGTTCACTCTGTATTCATATAAATATTACTACCTGTGTTCTACATCCCCCTCCGTAACTATGTACAATTAAGTATTTAATATGTTGGCGCAGTGAATATGTAGGAACAGCTTTGTCCCACGAGTTAACACGGTACATTTCTGTGACTGACGTTTCCTTGCTCTCTGTCCCAGGCTGGTGAAAATCGCCCCGCAGTACTATGAGATGAGTAACTTCCCCCAGTGTGAAGCTAAGAGACAGTTGGAGCGTCTCATTGCCAAAGTCTCATCCAAGGAGTACACTCAGTACTGAGAAGCTGCATGAGCTGCCCAGCATCCTCAGCATCTGGACATCAAACATGAACTTTTCTTTCATCAACAACTGATTCTCTATTTTTGGTCTCACTTATTCGTGTTCATGATGATTGATGAACTATGTGCTTTGAAGGCCACCTTGTGTCAGTATTTCTGCAGGTTTGGCACTACCAGAAATGGACTGTATGTAATCAGGATTTTAGTCATCAACCATTTCGGTTTAAAGCATGTACATTCCTCCATACTAAGTCACAGCTTCTAGGCTTGCTGGGAAGCTTTTGAAAATATAATTTATACTGTAATTTTTAATGTGGGCATAATGTATTGTTTTTCTTGTCATGGAAATACTAAGAGAGGCACTCTGCTCACATTCTCTGCTGCTGTTCAACTTAATAAAAATTACTTTGTAATAAAACCTTTTCCCAGTGTCGGCTTTAAAATAACAGGATCATCTGCATTCACTTAACCATCACACACACACACACACACACACACACACACACACACACACACACACACACACACACACACACACACACTGAGCAATCACGTTCTGACCTGCCAAATCCAGCTTGTTTCCTGCTCTTCAGGGAAGTTAAATCTTCTTACTGGGATATTGATAGCTTCAGAAACAGTTGGAGTGGGGGGGGGGGGGGATGTTAATTACAAATGTTTCAGAAGAAGATCAGTGTGAAATCCCCGCTGTGCTGGAGCCTGTTCTGGCTCTCCAGCTTTGTGTCAGCGCCTCGTGGATGTAAAAGGTAAGGCCTGCAGGCAGCCTCAGCACAGAGGAATGGTCGGTGACGGAACCTGAACATGTAGTTTCACTATCGTCAAACCACGGATGAACTTTAAATGTAGTGACCAACACCAAACTTGTAGGAATCCTTAAAGAAAAGGAAAAAGTGTTAGGCTCTCCTCTTATTCTGCGGGTGAACAACTGCCATGTGTGCAGCCGAGCTTGAATTACAAGAAAACTGATTAACCGACTCATGAGGGGACTGTGAACGTCTCCACCTCTGCAGCCTGAAGCCTGCTACTACAAGCATGCTGTACCCACATCTCAGAGATGCATTGTGGGTTATGTAGGCATCGGGTTAAGACAGGATAGAAGAGGGCATAGACCAAAACAAAAAAACAGTTTCCATCTATTTTGAACGTATTTATTGTCCATCACGTGGCTGAGGATGCTAAATCTTTGGTGTAACATCAATCATTCTTTATAAAATGTAAAATGACCCTAACATTTCCCAGAATCACATCCAGTTATCTAGTTTTTTCAAAATAACCAAATGCAGTTAGATATGTTCTTCACAAGCTGTATCACGCAAGTGTTTGACATGTTTAGCTTAAAAAACAATTAATGTCATTATCAAAATATTTGTTTATATCTTAATGGTCTAATTGTTTTAGCTCAACTTAGTCGAATTTGAAGCCCCATCAAACAATATTATCCACTAAGTTTTGGCTTTACTTTGTCAGGGTGCTATGACAAAAGCAAATCAAAGACCATATTTTGTTTCCACAGTTCTCTTGCACCACCTTTTTAAAAGAAAAGCAATTTCTTTTACTGGTTCTCTAATCCAGACTTCTCTTTGTCCAGGTAGTTTGTATGATAACCTGACCTTGCCTTCCTCTGTTCTGCATCTCAACTTTACATCAATTGTAAGGGAATAATATACATAACATTGACCTGAGGAGAGAGGCAGAAATGAAGCAGTAAGCATTTTTTCACAATCTCTGTAGTGTCTGGAAGTAGGCAGCTAGAGATAGTAGACCTGCTAAGGGAGTTTTAAATTAAGCCTGCAGATTGTGTAATGTGCCAAGTCAGGATATTAGCATGTGTGCTTTAATATTTTTCGGACTGTTGGGAATCCAAGTTTTTAAGTGGATGGCCTTTTGCTCGGGAATGTACACAGAACCATAAAACGGTGCCGTGGAGATAAGTCTGTCTCCAAAGCGAAGCCAATAGAAAACCCATTAGTTTGAGCTGATCTGGAAATGATATGGGATTGATTCTGAGGTAAGAGCAGTTTTTCATGCTCAATACTTCCCATTGATTCACACCGCCATAATTACAAATCATGTCTCCAACTTGTATTTTCTTAGTGTCTGATACGAGGGTCATATATGCTTGCATGCAGTTCTACTTTTTTATACAGGGCTAGATCTTTTTTAAAACATTCGCCAAGGACGATATGTGTTGTGCCATTTTTCTGTTTGGATTACAGAAAAGCTGCTGGCCTGATTTCACAAAAACATGTTGAAAGGGTTCAGCAGGGGCCATTAAATGTTGGAGCAGATCTGAATCGCAGTACATGAACTGATTCTTTTTTCGTTAACATTTGTTCTCTTAATCAGAAAATAAAAGTTTTCAACTGAGAAAATTAATGTGAACACCGCCTTAATCTATCTCTGTAGATATCAAGTTGTTGTTCAGACATTCATAGCAATGCATCTTCTTTTTAACGTGCTTCCACTAGAGTTCACGAACACACCAAAGTCAGTGCTGAGGAGTATGTCCTTGATGGAGGTCTGCACTCTCCGTGCCATTGCAGTTCAACATTGAAATTCAGTTGGAATGAGATTCAGAGTTTCCCCTTTTTGTTTAGCAGTTCAAGCGGAAAACTTATCTGAGGTCAAGGGTAGGCTGTACATTTTCTCCCTCAGCGTTTCACAACACCCTGCGCTGGTGTTAGGGCCCATTCTCTGCGACTCCCTGACAGTAACTCAACAAAAGTAGCAAACACAAACAAACAGCAGACAGGTATTGTTCAGCGTGTTTCCAAACAGTGTGAATCACCACCTCGCTGCAGCTCAATCTCCCACCACCCACAGAGTCCGGTATGGTGCCTCATCATCATTTGAGACCGTGGGTAGGGAAGTTTATTGCAGAACACCTCAGCGTTTCAGGAAATCCACCCAGTCCTCCTCCCTATCCCACGCAGGCCCCGCTCCCCCACCAATCGCAGCCCAGACAGGTGTCTTATCTCCATCACACAGCACAAGCACAGCCAATCTTCCAGGAAGATGGCGACTGGAATGTGACAAATCCATCTGTCCTGGTTTGAATTTGTATGCTAATTTGAAGTAATAGCCCCTCTGGTGACAGTGCAAGGGAACAATTCAATCATGCCATCTATGACAGTTGCTTTCCAGCCTTCTCTGTGATATGGGAGTATATGCACGTACCGCCGGGTTAGGCTTGATAAATTGGTTATGTAGGGGAGATGTGGCATGTAGACTGCATGTTTAAAATGGGCTGCCAGTTTGAAATGAATCACGCAACTACTGAACGCACCTGTGCAGACATGTGCACCACTACCTGTCAGCGGCAGGGAAACAACATTTGATTTGACCTCATTTATTTCCCCCTCAACGCGGACGGATTGGCTGAACTTTCACCGACTTGTGCCTGAACGGCCGTCATGAGATGTGTGTGAATGACAGAAATATCCCCACATAAAATCACACTGACACAATTGTTACATTGTCACACTGAATTATCCCAGGCTGTTGATTTGGTTCTGTGAAAAGCTTTCATGTGTCACTGGGCTGAAGAAGAAGAAGAAGAAGAAGGAGGCACAGAGAAGATGCAAGCACAAGCTGAGCTGCGCCATATATTCAGAAAGAAGCAATGATTCCTCATGTGCACTGGCACTCCCCTGCACTGTGCAAATGTATGGCACTCCTTAATCTTTAAATTAATCTACAGCACAGGACAGATTATGGTTGATGGTGACAGATAAGGCTAAAGAACAAACCGCCCTTCATTTAGCTTGCATCACTCTTTTTTCTTTTTCCGCCACATCAGGGCTTGCTTTCTTCCAGAGTTTAACACATGTTCCCCTTAATGGTGCATTTACATTAAAATATGCAACAATCAGAAATTGTAAAAAACCACTCAGACCTGCAGCCGTCACAAACTCAAAGCTTTTAAATCCTTTGTTTATTTCTATCCGGAGGCAATTTAATGTATTTTTATTCCACAATTTGCAGTATTGACTCGTCTAACAAGCCTCGTGAGAGTTAACTAGATGAAATATGTACGCTGTGTTATGGTCAATCACCATGGGGGACATTCACTGTCATTCTGTCTTTCTATACTCTCACTACGGCAGTGAATTCCTGACAATCTCTCAAGGAAAAAAGGAAAATGCACAGCCGCTGTGCCAATTGACCACACTTCAAACGGGTGCAGATCATGCGTGGCAAAACGCGTCTGATCAAACAAGGAGGCCAGCAAAGAAAGCTGATGAACAAAAGGCCCGTCTGACTGCACGGGTCTCACATCACAATAAATAGTGTGCTAAAAGACAGCTCTCCAAATGAGCTCTGCCAGCAGCCCCCCTCGTGCAGTTTGCAGCGAGCTGAAAGATTTTCTGTGCTCAGCATGGCTGCACGAGGATAACAAATGCTGTACTGCAACACTGTACTGTTTCTCGAGGAGGTTTTCTTACAATGCTTCACAATTATTCTAATGGTTGCTCTTCAAACTGCTGTTTTTTGTCCAAAGATGTATGATTATGATTTAATTTAATCAGGCATGCTTTATACTCTGTGTTAATATATTCTTTTTGATTAATACAACAATTAAAACACTATTGTGTGAGAGTGTGTATTGTTGATTAATGCAGTCGGAGTTCATTTCAGGGTGTCGGATCAGGAAACTTTGCTCAGGTTAGTTTGTGAGATGCAGAGTTAAAGCTGCAGATCAAATATGCATAATGATGATAAGTCAAATGCAAAGTTTGTGTGCCGTTTTAACAATAAAACACAACAGAAGGCTGCATAATTTAGCATTGACGCTAAAATAGAGACCATCTTGTGTTGGGATCACAGCCGCCGTCTCACTAAATCAGGCCAAAGGGTGTAAAGTCTAAAGATCCAAAGCTAATTTGAGCTAATGTTAGTTAGCTTACATTAGCAATGGTTGGCGCAAGCTGTTACATATATGTACTACAAACGTACGCCTGCTCATGCTTGATTACGGTCTGACTAATTGCAGAAAAGCTTGGGAATGCAAAGGGTCTGACAGAGGTGGTAGGCCCTGGCATGGAGCTCTGCAGTGGGACCCTCCTCTGAATTACTGCCCTTGTGGTCCAGGCTGCAGAGTTTACTGCTTAACTGCATTCACCTGCCGGCTCAGATGTAAATCAGCCTCCTGAAGGCCTCACAGCTACAATAAACCCAGCAGGGCTCATCTGTTGAAGCTGCATTAAAGCCTTAATATCACAGAAGCAACACCGTGAGGGAAAGAGCAACTGACCAACTGCACATCAGCAACTTTTATTTATAGTCCGGTAAATGTATGCAGCTGGTATACGTTGAAATTATTATTTTACTGACCTTTACCCAGTTAGCTGTCATTAATTCATTGCTAACTGCTTTGTATGGCTCTATTACAGTGATTTGGGTAT